CGGGGGGGGGGGGGCGATAATTTCGACGTATATTCTACTGCGCATCTTGTGGAGGGTCAACTTATGGAGGGAAGGTTGGAGCAGAGGTGGGGGAGAGAACCTGTTGCCTGCAATGTGATTTAACCATCCACGGCCGCATGAGGCTCGCTGTTTTGAAGCGGCTGCAAGCGACATTTATCCGTCACTGCAAACGTCTTAGCTGCACTCGGCGGGTACTAGAGGGGGGGGCAGGGATATTTTCAACCTGGCAGCAGCAATTCTGCATTTCTAATCTTAGTGCGTTCAGTCACTTCTGTCACTGCGAGGGCCTCTTGCGGTGACAGGACTGACTGGGGTGTGAGGTGTTAATGAGTTGGTTGTCCACCAAAGGAATCTGAAAGTCCTCTTCGGCTCTCAGCAAAAGTGTTTCCCCACTCCTGGTTTGTGTTGCAGCGTTCTACGTGCGCTGAAACCTTTCTGAACATACGGTCGAAACTCCCATAGCAAAATCTTCATACTGCCACGTGTGCGTGTCTGTACAGCTCTTATCGAAGTCGTTCAAGAGTGGTAAAGGTGCAGCCCTGAAATTACTTGCTCACACCTCCGGATTAGCACAGTATGGTGCAAAAAGTTCAACATACAAAAAACTGTTGGAAAAATTAACCCGTAAAAACAAAGTTTTTCACTATAAATCCTTTATATACATGGCGGCTAGAGTCCTCTCGTCCTCTGGCTTGAGATGGCTGCCACCTATGGGTCAGATGATTGCCTGCCACCATTAAGCAATTGGTAATTAAATATAATTAATTTTTTCCTAAAATGTGTCAAATTTTGGAAGAAAAATTTCACGAAAATAAATTGTCACGCACAACGAGTCTGTGTGCAAAATGTCAGCTTGATTGGATCACGGGAAGTGGGTTAAAAAACGACCGAAAGATTTGCACGGTCGTAAGCGCGCAAGCAAGCGCGCAAGCAAGCAAGTGAACTTAATATTAAGGATTTAAAAAGGGCCTCCCAACAGAGGGAGCTCCGAGAGAGCTCCTTCACAGGGTATTTGGCCTCCACTTCCATGCTGGTCAGACATCGTGGAAAAGTACCCACACTTTACCACACCACACGCGACATTTCTCATCGACTAACTGTTGGTGTGCCCGTTCATGCTGCTGGGTAGCCACGCGAAGAGGTCGGACCCGCGACCTCTGGATTGCAAGTCCGTCGTGCGAGCCATTACACCACGGCACCATCCCCCAAACCGGTGTCATTATTAACTGTTTAGCTACGGATTGATACCTTCATAAACAACCCCCCCGGTAGTACTCGCGGTTGCGAATCAGCATCGTCGTCTACGCACGGCATGTCTCGTGGGGATTATTGGCTGACATGTGTTTCCAGTTGAACATCAAAATGGTGTTTTACAGTCTCTTGTGTCAAGCACCAACTGCAGCATTGTGCCAGGCTGGGTCAAACAAAAAAAATACCCCCACATATAGTTGGCATCATCGAGTACCCACCCACTACCACCACCGAATGAGTGTACAGCGCAGAGGTCGCAACCGGGTACCCGATACCCGTACCCTACCCGATACCCGGCTACCCGTACCCGGCTGGGTACGGGTACCCGTTTGCGACCCTGGTGCGGCCGGGTACGGGTACGGGTAGACCGTGAGTCACTGGTGAGTAACTGTTTGTCACTCATTTCCCAACGTCTTGTCTCTTCTCACAATTCAAGTTCCTAGAATCAACCCACCCGCGCCTGCAACATGGCTTCATCCCAGAGGTCGCAATCAGGTACCCGATACCCATACCCTACCCGTACCCGCCCCCTACCCGTACCCGGCCGGGTACGGGTAGGGTACGGGTACGGCCGGGTACGGGTACCCGTTTGTGACCCTGGTGCGGCCGGGTACGGGTAAGGAATCAAAACCCGTTTGCGACCTCTGGTTCAGCGGTACCGCCACTTTCAACGTGAACTTTGCCTTAGTCTCAAGCTCATTGTTGGATAGGCCTCTCTTTTATGTGTCTGTGATTACGTACGAGCGCCTTGAGATTTTATGGAAGGTGCCAATACAAGCAGTCATTATTATTATTACATGTGTATATGTGTTTGTGGAGTGATTACACTGCTCTACGAACCCAGCGACCCGAGTTTGATTACCGCTCATGGCCAACAACAGTGACAAATATCTGAACCGGTCCTGGGCCTCCCCTAGGTCGAATCAGCCTCAAATTAGAACCTAGTGCGGTGTGTAAATTTCTCCACTTGGGAGACAAAGATGACCGAGTGTGGTATTAACCACACTACCCCCTCTATGCTCGCTAACAGCACTTGCCCAAGCAGTCTTTAATAGGCTATACCGGGGATCTTTGTCTTTTTGCGTGTCTTTCTATATATGTGTAAATCCAGCTCTGAAAATTCAAAAGATCAGTTTGATTGTCACGTGACAAACAGTAAAGTACTGCCCCCTACTGTGTGGACCCAAAGGTCACTTGAATGCCTGAAGAGCCCTCCGAGGTAGCGCCGTGGTATCCACTTCTGTGGGCCATTCTCTAACGTGAAGGGTTGCTCTGCTGTGTGAGGAAGCGTATTGGATGCTCGTCTCACGACGTGTGACAGTGTAACAAGGGGGGTAAACCTGGAGGCGAAATACAAAAGCACTGATTTGTTTAAACTTTTATTTTTTGTAGAGTAGCCTCGAGTGCAGTGGTTCTTAACCTGGGGTGCACGCACACTCTCTGGGGGTGCGAGATGTCCTTTTTGAGAACCAGAGGGGGGTGCAGGCTGCAGTGAAGGTTAAGAACCACTGCTCTAGTGGCTGCAGGGACCTGTGGTCATGTGGACAAACATGCAAATATGACTAATTGATTTTCATGAGCATAATATTCGATACATGTTTTGTGAGCAAAATGATTGCTTTAAATGTATAAATCGATACATCGTTACGTGGCTGATGGACAATATCGCAGCGGCTTTTGGCTAACCATTGAACAAAGACGGTCACTGCATCGCGCGCTTTCAGATGCACTTCTGCGGCCAGCTGGTACACTATTCCTTCTGATATTAGGAAGCCACTGGAGCTATCCACTTTTAAATCACCTAAATTGAAATAATTATTTTTTTAGAACTGCTTTTCGTGTTTAGTTTGTTGTCCTTCCCCCCCCCCCGCACCTCCGATTAGCCCCGGTTGGCTACATTTGGTCCAAAATAAGTTCTACATACATACATCCTACATGAACCTCAGCTCCTACTTCCCTCTCATCTCACTCTACTACCTTCCCCGTGCTCTCTACTACCTCTCCCCACTCATCTCACTCGACTTTCCTCTGTCCTCTCTTCAGGCTTTCTGTCGTAGCCCCCAGTCAACCGTGACTCAACTTGAGGTTGCTAGACAATGGCTGATGATGATGATGGTCATGATAGTTCAGTACAAATTGTACAAAACGTTCAAAGTATATTACCCTGTTTGTTCCATCTCCCCACCAGCCCGGGCTCCTAACAACCTCGCTCATTCCCACACTTGGAGAGCCAGTATTAGCCCAAGGGCTGTTTGAGCCTGCCGTTTACACGTTTTGTGCAATCAGATTAGCAGTAATACAACTTGAATGTTAATCTGGCTCTCATGTGGGATCTTTATTGCTGCCAAAATCCACATTTTCCAGATTAGTTGCCGACTTCGCGCACCCGCAGGAGTCAACGTTTGGCTCGCGCAGCCAAAAGGGGTGTCACGGTGGAGAGATGTTACCTAACTCGCCTGGTATACGGGAGGTCATGGGTTTGAACCCGACCCTGACGCCTGTATATTTGGAGTTTGTATATTCTCCTCTTGATCGTGTGGATTTTTCTCCGTTTTTTTCCTCCACATTTAGAAACGTGCGTTCAGAGTATGTGGCCGCTATACGTTTCCACGTGACAACCCACTCGTTTGAGCTATCGTTTATGCCTAGGTCGCATCTGAAAAGGAGCTATATAGCTTAGTGGACCTTACCTTGTAAAATAACAAAAAGTTTAGTTTTTACGCTTTAAACGGAGGAGCTCGCACAATGCGCAGTGTGCGGTAACCGCGCAGTTCCGTACGACGCTTTGTGTGGGACCTAGAATACTGCCCATCCACGGCGATCCGCCAAGCGTACCGGACGTAGCTCACCACCGCCTGAAGTTGTTCTTGTGCACGGTCGGAGTGCTTGTAAAAATGTAGGCCACGGATTTGGACGACCGCCAATAATCCCGAACGTGCACCTGATCGCCAATCCCCCAACGAGAAAGGTGGACTCATGATTGGTGTGTTTTTTTATCGCATTTCTAGTTGGTTAACATACTATGACGAAGTCAAATGCCGCGTTTGCCAATTACGATTGAGATGGCAGAACGAGACAAAGATAATCTGTTCTTGATTTGAATCGCATCTCTTGATTGTGACAATTCATCGAAATTGCGAGTGGGTTAGGTGAATCCTGACATACCTATGGAACTTATTGTTATTTTCATCATCCGGCTTGTTTATCCACAGAAGCTCCACCGAGTTTCAAGACCCTATTTCAGCAGGTTCCTGCCAGATGTTCGCGTCGCTATCTGTAATTGCAATTGAGTAATATGCAGGATAGTTTTCAGCATTGGGATGTTTTGGCCAATACCAGTTACAGTGGGTGTTTTTATTTTTTAGCTACGTGAAAAATATGAGAACCCGGAGGAAACCCATGAAGAACATCGGGAGAACTTACAAACTCCACACAGAAAGGCATCCGAGTCAGACTTCGAACCCAGGGCTTTCTTGCTGCGAGTCACGAGTGTTGCACCACCGCGCTACCATCCTGCCGCCCACAATCACGCTAACGATCTCTTACGCAGCTAATGTCGAACGTCTACCGCCAAAGATCCGTGTATGCGTGGCAGAGCTGCACGTAAACATTTGCGCGATCGGCTGCGGTGCCGTTGCCGCCGATGATTTTCGGACGTCGTCGATCGCGTTTCTCTTTCTGCCGACGCTCGGAGCGCTGACGGGTCGTTGCTTTTGTGTCGTCTTCAGGGGGAGAAGAACAATGGATTTGACATCCTCTACCATAACATGAAGCACGGCCAGATATCCACCAAGGAGGTGGCCGACTTCATCAGAGAAAGGTACATTGGGTTTAAAAAAACTATCAATTCCTGTATTCGAAATTCTTTAGAAATTCTGTTTTACGGAGTTTCATCGTCAGATGTAGACTGCAGCATCACACTTGAAGGGTTGCCGCAATATTTGTGGCAGAAAGGTTGCGCCGTTGAACTTCAGTATGGTCTGTGTGTTGTATCAGATTTTTCAATAGCGGTCAGAGCAAATGCGTAGACACTGCTGACACTTGGGGTCGAGCCCATGTTTCGGCCTCCCGTGGTTTAAGTCGAGTTCTGAAATTGTACCAAGTTCAAAGCTTTCACCACATGCTGCTCCGAGCATCTTAAGGAGTTCCTTGCAGCTATTGAAGATGCCCACAGCAGTGCACGTTGAAAACTTGCGAGAAGAAATGTTTAACGTGCAGCCCAAACCGGAGAAACCCACGCTTGCATTCCAAGTGGCTGTAAAAACGTATTCATTAAATTAAGTTTTATGGTATCAGCCTGTTCAGCTACAAAGACTGTCAAATTAAATTTAGTTTCTGCACTAACTTTGGAAAGATTCCAGCTCTTGACAATTGAAAACATGTGTTTATCTGCCACGCGACGGACATTAGGAACATCACTCCGCAACAGGGTGCATGACAAAGTGCGTGCCCCCTTGTGTGTAGGTATTGAAGCTTCAAATCTAGAATCAAGGTATTGAATGGTCACTTTGAGGGACCTCAGAAGTAGTCCTTCGATATCCCCCGTCCGCAGAGCCGTTCTCTGCTGTGATTTACCGCTTTGGACGCGTCTGCGTATTCGTGGCACGCCGCTGATGCGTCTTTTCGTTCTGAGGATACGGTCATCCTTAGAACAGCGTGCGTGGTGGAAACCTATTGGCACTTATCCTTCTTACACGGCCAGAATATTGGGGCTCTTGTCCCTTTGAGTCATGAACGTGGGTATTCTGATTTAAACTAGATGTGTTAAAATACTGGACATGTGTGAAGGAGAGCTTTTTGTCGCTCATCGGATTCCTCCGGTATATATATAAACAAAATTTTGATCCTCGTCTTCTGCTTCGCTGAGTAATAATAATATAATAATAACTCAATTTGTAACGCGCGCAAATTTGCGGCTGTAATGGCCGCAACTCGGAGGCGAGGAGCCAAGCTCAGAGTCGCTCGAAAGCGTGGCTGTAGAGGTGAGTTTTTAAGTCTCTCTTGAAGGAGGCGATTGAGGTGATGCTGCGAATGTGCAGAGGGATATCGTTCCAGACTGTTGGGGCTGCCACCGAGAAGCGGCGCATAGACATGACCATCCTGGATCTTGGTATCAAGAGGAGGTCGTGAGTCGCGCTGCGCAGGCATCTGCCGTGTGCTGAGCTGCAAGTTGTCAGTAATGAAGAAAGGTACGGCGGGCAGGCAGATGTGAAGGCATGGTGCTGTTCCGCCCGTGTGTTTTTTTTCCTTTTCAGGATGACGGTGGAAGAAGTTTATGCCAAGTCGTTAACGAAGCTGGCCAAGACGGCCAGCAACAACTCGCAGCTGGGGTACGTAACCCAGGCGATGATGCCCATCGGATTCCGGGCTGCTGTGTGTGGAATTTTCCGATTGTTTATTCGTTGGGAGTGTGGTGTGTGCCTCTTGTGTGCCGCTGCTTTGTTGGCAAAGGTGGCGGACACGCGTAATTTGGTTTCTACTTTTCGACTGTGGATCATTGTGCGAATTTGACTTTGTGTAAACGTATTACGTCCGTGCATTCAGCAGTGGACTGACAAAGGGGCTGTCCACGTACCCATGCCTATGGACAATCGGACAGAATATTCCCGATCTCGGAGGCTAAGCGGGCTTGAGCCGCGATAGTGCTTGGATGGGCGACCATCTTCCGTAAAGCAGGTGTTATAGGCTGTTTGCGGGTGCTATTTAAACTAAAAGGCGAGACTATTTGTTATTTTACCACGTAAGGCCCACTGAGCTATATAGCTCTTTTGCAGACGCGACCTGGCCACAAAATAACATCTCAATGAAGTGGCTCATTGCGTGGAAACTTATAGCAGCCAAATGCTTTAAACGCGTGTTGATTCTAAATGTGGAGGGGAAAACCGGAGGACCCGGAGAAAATTCACGCGGCCACAGGGAGAACACGCAAACTTCAAATATACCGGCGTCAGGGTCGGGATCGAACCCACGACCTCCTGTATACCAGGCGAGGGAGTTAACATCTCACCACTGTGGCATCAGCAGTGTATTGCAGCAGCAGTAACCATTGTTGTGCTGCACTTCTATGCACCCGTTACTACGCTCCCTACCTTCAGCAACCCGTAATGACCAGCGTGGTGAAGTATTTTTGAGGATTGTAATGAAGGGTGTAGCAATGTGTCAGTGCCTCATTTATCATCACATTTTTATTTCATGGGGAATTAATTTATTTGAGTCTCATAGAGCATATGTAATGGGTTTTCTTGACCCATCCAGCCACTGGAGGCCACTTCATATATTTTAAATGTTTTAATAAAATCGTAATCAACTATTTAATAAAACCGTGACTCTGAATCATAATTATACAGGGCGACCCATTTATAGATACCCCACTAATTTCACTCCGTTGGAATTTACATATCAGTCATCACCCCCTACTGTGCAAACTTGGTAGAACACTCGTTAACATGAGTCACGAGACTCAGTGAGGCTTTCCTTGGTTAACAAGCGGAACAATACTAATACAATAAAAGGGATTAATTACATTATGGAGATAACAACATTTTATTTAAAATCCTCTACGCATCTTCCACCAATCTCAATACACGGACAATTAAACAATTTACCGCTCTTTTACGTAAGACATGGAGCCATTGCCTTGCGCAACATTCAGTCGTTTGAAATCACTGCGGTATCTGTAAACGGATCACCCTCCATTATTATGATAAAGGTCGTTGCGTAACACCCATAAAGCAGTGCATTGCAGAGCGCGTGCGTGTGCGCGTGCGTGTGCGCGTGCGTGTGCACGTGCTTGTGCCAGCGTGCACAACAGCAGCGAGCGTAACAGGTCGTAAAAGAACGTCGCGCCCTATATGAACGGCGCAAGCATTGCCCGTGCGTGGCCAGCTCCACGTCGCTTTCCAGCGCAAGGAGGTGGTGTATGCCGGGGGGCTGCGCCATGTACAGCATTGTGCAGTCGCGGTGGCGCGGGCTCCGTGTCCGTCGTACAGCGCGCTACGCGATGCTCGGGCGTCCTTTGGCCCGGAGAGCCGCGGGCGAGACATGACCCGCGGAGGGGGGAGAGGGGGGGGGGCTTTTTTTTTGTGTCCCGCCGAGAGAGCTGTGGCTCGTCCCGAGACATCGTTGAGCTTCAGATTGGTGAGAGGAAAGATTAAATGAGAGACGGGGACGACGAGAGAAAGCTGTCGACAAGAGATAACTGTTGGTGAGGGGAGAGCGGTTAGAGACGCTAAAAAGTCAAAGTGCTTGTCGAGGAAAATAAACAGTTGGAGGCATTTCAGGAGGCAGCCCCTATATAGGTCGTTAACTATGAAGGGCCGATAGTTTGAGCTATTAAGAAGGGCCATTGCACTGGACGTTTGTTAAAAAGAGCTTCATAGCTCATAGGATTCTTCCAGTATAAATACATATTCTGATTCTGACACAAGAGATCACTGGAGACAAGAGATTTTTTTAAAAATAAAATACGAGTGAGATGAAACAGAGACGAGAGGTGGAGGTGGGAGACCTGGAGGAAAGAAAAGAGGGACAGATTCGAGAGACGCAAGAGTTTGATATATCCCAGAGACAAACAAGAGGGAGATGAGAGTCCCGGAGGTGAGGTGTGGATCAGTGGTTCACATGGATAGATGATTTGACTTTGCGGTGCCATGTCGTAAAGACTACACGTGACGCCGGACGTCAACTCTGCGCTAATATAACGTTGGGCACCAAGACCGCATGGTCTGTGGTTTAAAGTCCCTGGGAAGTGTGTGTTTGAGATTTTGTGTAAAAGTTGGCATCGAGGTGGTCACGAGAGAGCCGCACAGCAATGGATTATTGATCTATCTGTCGTGTGCGCCTCTGGTTTCCATTTGCATGCTAAACATTTATGGAATTGGCTAATAATGCATCAAGTCATGCGTGTAAGGATGAATATTAGTGTAATTTATGGCTTGTGACATGCAAATGATATGTTAATGCTACCTTTAGGCTTAACTGAGTGAACAAAACTGTAAAAAGAAGAAACGATAGTCATGAGAGAGTAAAAACAAAACGTAATTCGAATTTTTCATGACTTGGAAGGTGACCCAGATCTGTGCCGATCTGTTGTTTTCGCATGGATTCATTGTCGTCATCGTCGTCATCATCATCATCATCGTCGTCATCATCGTCGTCATCATCGTCGTCATCATCGTCGTCGTCGTCGTCATCGTCATCAGTCATGATCATTTCACTGCTGGATGAAGAACTCCTCCAAAACCATCGCCGTCCTAACTGCCGCTGTCCATTGTGCACCTGCACTCAAGATACACTAATTGATGGATTTGCTTGATGGATTGTTGCATTTAGGACTATAGGGGATGTTGCATGCATGCTGGTAGAACTACTGAACCGAGGTGGCACGGTGCCCTGCTCGGGTGTATCACCTGCTACTTGTGGGCGAACCGCGGAGGACTAAGAGGAAACGTCAGCCTGGAACGTGTCCAAAACCGGACCGTAATAATAACGCTGGCAGCGACAATGAGAGGAAAATCTAACCTTTATTATTCCCTCGGCCCGAGCAACCGCTGTCGTGCTTTTGCCGAGCATGGTAATTACGTCCGAGAGCCGTTGTTACCCCGCTTCCGCACACACGCACGGCGGGTCGCGCTGGATTTGGCGCCCTGCTGCCTGTCAGTGCGGCGGTGTGGCCCGTACAGCCGGCAATTTTGCCTCGGTACCCGTTTGTTAACGGGGCTTTTGAGAGAGCTTTGACGCGCCGATTCTTAGCGCGCGGTGCGCTCGCAACTCTCGGGTTGCGTGGAGCAGTGCCCCCAACCATTCGGCCGTCCCTCGGGTGTACACCAAATCGGGACGACTGTCCCGGGCCCCGCGGTTTTGGCGGGGGGGGGGATCTGCACTTTGACGTCACAGTGTCAGATGTAATTCTTCTGGTTTAGTTTGAAGGCATTACCAACCCCCCACACCGCGCCCCCCGCCCCCCGCCCTGAACAAAAATACAGAGATCCCCCGTATAGCCTTAAAAAAGCTGTTGGGGCGAGTGCTGTTAGCGAGTACTAAATTAAGGTTGGCATGGCACACGGGGTGGTTTGGGTGGCCAGCACCATCCCTGGTCGCCTTTGTCTCCCCAGTGGCGATGTTTACACATCACATTTGAGATTGAGTTGACCTTGGGGAGGCTCAGCACCGGTTCAGATAATTGTCATAGTTGTTGACCACATACACACAGATACACAACAATAACAACCGCCATTGTCACCAAGTAGTTGATGATGTCACCACGGTGCTTGTGCCAGGCTAGGTGCACCTTGAGGCCACATAAAGTGTTGAAGGCTCACTGACAGGATGTCATGGGACAGACCCAGGTGTTATGGGTTGACAGATTTGTGACGCGCGGTCGGATATTGGTAGTGGTTTGGGTGAATCTCTTCCTCCCATTTGTCAACCCACTGTAGGACGAGAGCCTTCTCACGCTGTGTCGATCATGGAAGGTTGTTAGACCATGCTTCACCACACTGGACAAAGGTTGTTAGACCATGCTTCACCACACTGGACAATGCGGGTTCACAAACGGGGTGTCCCTAACCAGTTTGGATTTCCCTCACCGCTGTGAGTTAGCCATGGCTCGGAATCAAACTCAGGTCACCGCGCTCATTGCGAGGCACACCTAACCACCCCAGTGAATCACTACATGTCCAGCATTCATCCTGGTCCCTCCGTACTGCGCCCGACCAGTCGCTACACAGCCGCCACTAATTACGCTCTCAGCTTAAGGTCACCCTTTCCCACGGGGTCTCGATTGACGCGGGGTTAGCGGTCGTCTTCTGCAGAGTGGGCTAGGCTGGGGTGGACAGGCGGAGCGCGAGAGAAAGGCGGTTCGCGTCGGGAACAAACAGTCGAGCGAATATTCGACCAGCGTGCCACGGCTTAGGCAGCATTGACCGCGAATGGTCTTAATCCGATCCGTGGTAAATGGGCCGTGAGTGGAAGGCCCCCGCCGTCGCCGCTGCAGCTGCACGGCTCGGCTGACCTGTGTGCTCTCAGGCCAGCTAAGCGGAACCAGCCTGGCACAGAACCGGTCTCCGCCAGTCCCTCCCAATCCTGGCTGGTACTGGCACCACGCTGCGTCTCTGCTGCAGCAGTAAAAAGCCCCCTGTGCGTGTGTGCGCGTGAGACGTCGCCAAAAGCGACGCTTTGATTCTCCCGTGAGGCTATGTTATCACTCCTGTGATACGCACGTTGGAATCGCGCGCGTGCAGCGAATCGGTTAGTTATGATTTATCCGATTTATATGCTAATGTTCCGTCTTAGAGAATCGTATCAGCAAAACTGTATCAACGGGACAAAAAAAAACATGTTAAAGACGAGACGGTAAAAAAAAATGTCGCCGTAGGTCAAGGGTGAGACTGTACATTTGCAAATCCATGCCGGCCGATCGTATTGCACGTTAAACGCGCTGGCATCGTTATGGGCAGGGTGCTGACGCTAATTCCTAATGTTCGTGCTGGAAGCCTAATCGGGCTGGAAATTGATGTTCCGGGGGTGGGGGGATGAAGGCGGGGGGGGGGGGGGGGGACGAGGAAGGACTTCTGACGTCCTCGTGGCTCGTTTTAGATTTTTTTTGACAAATCCATTCAAGCGGTGGGGGGGGGGGGGGGGTAATACAGTGCCGGGCTTCAGCTGCTGTCAATTGAGCCGGATAATGGATGCGAAGCGCCGTGCGGCTACGTTACATAAGAGGCGGTGGTGGGGGCTATTGCTGAGTGTGCACATGTTCTTATGTGTGCGATACTTGATGTGAACCCCGGTTGCCAACTGTCCTGGTTTTTCCAGGATTGTCCTCTCTATTTCATTCGGTAGCTGCTTTTGTCCGTGACATAATAACCACATCACTGCGGACAATGCATGTACGTGTGGTTCTCTCCCCCCGTTGCGATATTGTGAGGATAATCTTCTTGCCATTGTGTCCTGTTCTCTTGCATCTCAGATGTGACAACACAGGATGTGACATCAAAGGTTGTTGGTGCTTCCTGGAACAGGATTTCTTTTGGTTCATGTTTATATTTTCCAGCATGCTCTGGGATTGTGATATTTTACATATTGCAGGCAGCCCGTTCCACGGACACGGGAGACATATCACACTCACTTGACCCTCATCAGTCATTCACCAACAAACCTGACACTCGCCACTCAAAACAGTAGTCGTCAGCACGAGCCCAGCTACCTGAATTTGATGCCCGGTGACAGCGAGCATCAGTGACAAATGATATCGGAACCAGTCGTGGACCTCCCCTAAGTTGACTCGGCCTGGGTAAATAGCACCGGAGGACCAAATGCGGCCGGGCGTGGTGCTGGCTGCAGCACACTGTCACGCGCCGGTGTTTGCCTTTATTAGGTTCTCACGAACTGCACTTGTCCTATATAGTCTTTCAAAGGCTATACGCGGTATTTTTGTCATTGCCTTTGTACATGTTACACACGCGTGTATGCGTGTATTAATGCGTCCATTTGCATGGATGGTGGAAAATGACCTCCAGCGGTGCTTGTTGGAAATTCATCTCGTCGCTTGAAGCGCTTAACGCCCTTGCTTTGCCTAAACTGATCCGTGTAATAACATTATCTTGTACGTAGTTTTTTTTTATATATATAAAAAAGGTTACAGTAGTGGCTGCGTTCGGTGTTCTGCTTGAATGTGGTGAAGGTGTAATTATGAAAAGCGCGAGCTTAGTAAACTTGGTTAGTGTTGGAGAAGTCGGTGACAAAATCAGAACGTGAATCAAAATCCGAATTTCCCGAGTCTTCAATTTCAGTCATGGTCTGACCACCCACGCTATCCTGCGGGTAGTGACGATGCCCCTAGGGTACACGTTCGCCGTCTGTTGCAGATGCTCGCGGGTTCGAATAAAGCGGCTGCCCTGGTTAACACCGCAGTTGTGTTAACCGTCTCCTTGCCGGCGCCTGTTGAGTTCCTGTGCTGTCAAACGAAGAACAGTTCCTTGTGTGACGTCCGCGTGGTCCAAAATTTTGAAATTTACTTTCAAATGACTTTTTTGGGCAATCCATGGCCATCGGTGCCTTGATAGCGAATACTTAGCAGGGACCCCTGTGAGAAAAGATACGCGGGGAGGATTTTTTTTGGTTTATAAGTGTATTGATTGTAACAACTAACAACCCACACATCATTTTAATGTGACTGTCTGTCCATTCCTCTCAGCCAGCCAGCAAAACTTGTATTGCTACATAGAGCCCTGTCTCTGTACTGTACATGGTAATTTATCTCGATTTCTCACTTTGTCTTTGTTTTTATCTGTTTCTCAATTCCTCTGTCCCCTCTCCTCCCTCCACTGTACCTCCCCCACTTCCCTCCCGCTTATTCCTCTTCCTGTTTCTCTCACCTCTCACCCTCACTCTCCTTATTCCCACCTTGGGAGCACTTGGGACCGTGGCACCCAGCCAGACAGGAATTCACCCAGGTCATTCGGCGAGAAGACTTTTTTTTCGAATATAGACCGATATAATAATCCCTCTGTAGTCAATAAAGTATGTGCCGTGTAGTTGTCGCTTTGTGTTATTGTGTTTCCACTTTGTATGTTAAATTGCAGGATGGCTTGGGGAGGCCTGCATCCCACAGTGGATTGACCATGGCCGATGACGATGACGTTACTTTTCTGTCAATTGTGCGTAGCTTGCAAAGTACTCCCACCTTCGGGAGGCAGACGTTTTTTTTGTCGTCGATTAATTGTCTTCATGGACTAACCGTCCTAGCTCTGGTGACATCGTGAAGTCCCATTTTCACCATCGTCTTTCTCGCATTCTCGCCTGGCGCGCCCTCAACTCTTTCAAATTAAGTCAGCCGGTTAACGCCTCGCCTGTTCCGCCCGTCCCCGACGCAGGACGTTTGCGCCCATGTGGGAGGTGTTCCGCGCCTCGTCGGAGCGCCTCGCCTTGTGCCACCAGGAGCTGAGCCGCAAGCTCATGGAGCTCATCCGGGAGGTGCAGAAGTACGGCGACGAGCAGACCAAGCAGCACAAGAAGGTGCGAGCGACGCAGGCGCAACCATTGCGAGGTGGCCGCGGAAGTTGAAAAATAGCGCTGTGGCCAATCAACAGCACGAGCGCTGTTCTCAGGGCTTCCTTCGTATACCCTTAGCATTGCAGTCTGTAGCTCAGCACCGTTACCAAGGCTTAATTGGTACCCTTAGCATTGCAGACGGTAGTCCTAGCACTAGTCCCAGGGCTTAATCGGCAGACCTAGCGATATTCCCAGGGCCTTATTTCTCACTCAATATTTTCCTGAACGCTGCAACGCTGGTTTGGAGTGGAGATGTTCTGCTCGAGCACAAGGTACATCTATATAAAATCCTTCATTATTGTACCAAACTCCACACCTCCGTTTAGCACGGTTGGCTATGTATGGTGCAAATGAAGTTCAACATACATACAACAGGTTAAATAATAATTGCTCGGCAAGGTGGATGTGAGGTGTCATATAAAGCATCTGAAATGTGAATCCAAAATCGTGAAACTGCCGATACCAATGAGACTGCAAATATGAGACGGAATACAGTCGATACTTGAATCGAATCGTGGCCCCGAATAGTGACAGTTCATAGAATTGCCGGGTCGGGGTGTAAATTTCGGATGTAAATTTGAGACAAGTGCATTGTGCTCATCTCAAATGTACATCCAATATCGTAAAACTACCCTATCTCAATGGCAATTTTTGCTTTTTATGCGGTCTGCAAATGAAAGTCATGTTCCCTCGTTTCTCCTTTTGCATTGCTGACTCTTTAACTTCCCACGTGCCACAGACGAAGGAGGAGGTGTCGGGGACCCTGGAGGCCGTGCAGGGCATGCAGACCACCACACAGGCGCTGCTCAAAGCCAAGGAGGTCTACAACAGCAAACACCAGGAGACGGAGAGACTCAAGAAGGAGGGAAACCACAAAGAGTACGAGAAGGCAAGTGAGCCCACCGCCGTCGCCACCGCCGCCTTCAGCGTCGCTACCTCCACCACCGTGACCATGGCCGTTGCCCCCGCGTCCATGCTCACCACCGCTACCACCAGCAGCAACAGCAGCACCACCGCCTTCACCACCACGGCCACCACCACTGCCACCTGGCTCGGTTGCGGCGCCCGCTGAGCTATCCACCCGTGATCTGAAACGTGGCGACGGGAGTTGATTTTTGCTTGTTTGTCGTTTTGGTGGTTTTTCACCTAATTCTATTTAAACCAGTTTCGGTGTAGCGCATACGCCGCCGTCTTGCTAACGCCACCAGCCGTGCGTACGGGAAGGCAAACCGTGCGCGCAGACGCTCACCCTTGCCATTATGCTCCAGCGATGCTTCAGCTTGTCGAGTAAAACAAGCATCATGATGGCCCAGTGTCCGCCGTGAGACTTGGCAATTGCTGCTCTTTGCGACCCTTAGTGGCAACAACTGGTAAAGGGCACAGGTCGACATTCCTTGGTGCCAAAATTATTTCGTACCAGTGTCACACACCACACTGAAAATAAGTTGCAAAGCAGATTTTTCGAACGTTACCGTTCGTATTACGTTGTCACTATCGGCATCATGCGATCAAGAAAATGTTTCCATTTTACAACTCTTTTGACATTTCGGTTTTGAGTTTATTTTGTTTTCACCGGGCGGGAACTCGCGAGAACGTTTGTGCGAGTGACGTGGGTCACCAGAACGACAAAGGCAATAACATAAAAACAAGAACAGCAACTGAGCGAATAGAAATCGGAGCAGAAAACAACAAATACAAAATGACAACAAGACCCAACTGCGTAACAGAATAAATATTTAAACGTTCGGTTCTCGAATGGAATTTGCGGGGCCCTGAATCGCGATGGGCAACCGAGACCAGCAAACCGTTACACTCCGCGGAATAAAAGATGTGTGTTTACGTGTGTCCTTTCTATAATGGACTCGTGTCGCTATAAATTCACACTGTGGAGAAAGCTTGTGACCGCCGGTCATGTATCCTGGCGAAGTAATGTAGGAATGTAGATGGACAGGCTGCGGACAGATTCATGGTCAGTGCGTTGTGCTCATAGGGCGTGCAAAATCCTCCAATAGGGATTTTTAAATTTTCTCTGCCAAGCTGCAGTAAATCAACCCCTGATTGCATCCCGAACCAAGCTGTCACTCTCAAAATCTAAATTCCAAAGGCATCGGCTGAAGTTTTGTGCCCGAATTCTCATTATTAAAGCATCGAGGCGATGAAAAAGTTTTTGGATGTATGGCTGCGAGAATATATCCGTTACCGTTCACGGAGCAGCGACTGTGAAATCATTAGGCGGAACCTTCCTGGCATCACAAATTTTCAAGGCTGCTTTTCTTTCAAGGGAAGGCCGTAATGACAACCGAAAACATAAACAGCTCTTTCTCTTCCAAGAAGTGCGTCCTGGCTTGTCCGAAATACGTTTGAAGCTTCGTTAACAATAAATAAAGACTTTTAAAGTTAATTAGTCATGCTGTAATGGCACCTCGCATGCATTTACTACTATAATTGCTACTACTTTTATTTTACGAGATACGGTCCACTGAGCTATATAGCTCTTTTTCAGAAGCGACCTGGCCACAAATTATAGCTCAACGAAGTGGCTTATGTGGAAATGTATAACAGCCAAATACTCTCAACGCATGTTTGCAAATGTGGAGAGAAAAACCGGAGGGCCCGCAGAAAAAATTCACGCGTCTACGGGGAGTGAGACATGCAAACTTCAAATATACAGGCATCAGGGTCGGAATTTAACCCACGACCTCCTGTATACCAGGCAAAGTAGTTAACATCTCGCCACCGTGGCGCCCCTTAATACAGCATTAGAATGCTATAAATGAATTGCCTGATGGTAACCTGAAATCCTTTTTCTTTATAATGAAGCTTGGCCATCTTTGTAAGAGAGCTGTTTAGCTAATCGGGCCTTACCAGCTAAAATAAAGTCTTCGCTTCCAACACAGGGCAGCCAGACCAGGACACGTATAACCTTTATTTAAAACCAAGTAAGAGGGGGTGTAACGGTGGTGCAGTGGTTAGTACACTGCGTTATGAACCCAGAAAACTGACTTAAGATTCCTGGCGACAGCTCACATCAGTGGCCAATGATGTCTCAATCAGTCCTGCTTCCTTCGATTCTTCACCGGTCTGCACTGACCAGGATGTTCAAACAACCGCTATGACCGACACAGCATGGTGAGTTCTTCATCTCGCAGTGGCTTTATAAAGGACTGAAATGTATTGTCTGTATTACCACTCAGAGCTAATTGAGACTAGAGTTATATTTTTCTAGGGAGAACTGCGTACAAAAATGGCACCATACAAGGTGCATTTCTACATGGAAAGGAATGTTTTTTTTTGCTTGGAAGTGTACCACACTTCCAAGCAACACACACAGTGCCTGGGCGGACAAAAATACATACTAGTCACTGTTCACTGCTGAATAAAACCCTCCCAACAATGACACCACTGCCAAGCGTTGCTCACAATCAACTGAGTCTCCACTGGATGCCGTGTAGCTATGATCTTTTAGCAAGCAGTGGGTAGATCATGGCTGCTGCCGATGATGATGCTGTTCCTGAAGTTGAACCATTGTGCACCCAATCCGTCAGATCTCGGAAGCCGAAGAGGTTTGAACCTGGTTAGTAAAGTACTTGCATGTGGGAGACTGGCAGGGAGAATTATCTGCCAGGTTTATAATCTTGAGGTGCGTGACAGTGGAATGCTCGCCCTGTCATGTGACGTTATTGAATATGCGGTCATGGTGTGACCTCATTGCTCAGCAAGGGTTGAGAATCAGGTCAAGTTCAAGTTCATTTATTAGGTATAGCCCTGTGAGCCATTCGGCTCTTGAATCGGGTGCAACCGCAACAAACAAAAAACAAAAACATGAACAAGAAAACATCTTAAAGTGAATATGTGACTGAGTGCAAACAGAAAATCCAAGAAAAGACAACAAAATATTGCAGAAAAAGCACCGTACACCAACGCTGTGTGCAAAAATCCCAGTGGGATGCAAGTCAAACAACAACATCCACAAGACAACTTAGATTAAGGCCATCAGTCTAACTCTGTACTACAACAAACAAACATGGCTAAACCAAAAAACTTTTCGAAAATCGCCAAAATAAAGCCATAAAAGCAATGAAACAGTGGTCATAGGAACTGACCGAATTTTCACAATAAACGACGTAAACAACATGTGCCACCAAACTCTGCAGCCATAGCTGGCTGCATGTGTCACTCCACAACAGTAGGAGCATCAGTCGGAGTATCAACATTTTTCAATGCACCTTTAAGATCAGCACACTAAATCAAAACACAGATCATACTTTGCAGCGATCATGTGACCTTGTTGAGAAGCGAGGGGTTCAGAAACTGGTCACGTGACCTTGTTGAGAAAGCGAGGGGTTGACAATCTGGTCACGTGACCTCATGAAATGAGCCGTTCAGACTCTGGTCACGTGATGTTGATAAGCCAGGCGTTGACAATCTGATCACGTGACCTCGTTGAGAATCAAGGGGTTTAGAATCCGCTGCTGCTGTATGCGCGTACGACAACAGGCCCAGGTGAAGTCACGCAAGGCGATGGAGGCGTACAAGGTGTTCGTGGATAAGTACGCCAACGTGCGCTCCGACTTTGAGCACAAGATGACGGAAACGGCACAGGTGAGCGGCGGCCCCCATGTTTACACCGGGGCCACCGATAAAACTTGGAAATTTCATCCTTCCCCCGCACCTCCGATTAGCACGGTTGGCTACGTACGGTGCGAAAGAAGTTAAACATGCATACATCATCATGATCATTACTTTCTAAGATCTCCCGATTGTAAGACGCTCCGGAAAAAAAGTAAGACGCACTCCAAACTTGTGCCCGAAGTTAATAAACCTGGTCTTGCACATACACACAGACATCTACCAAATTATAATCCGCACCCCCAACTTTTGCTTTAAAATGCAGTGGGAACAGGTGCATCTCGTAATCCTGAAAATGCGGTAATAATTATACCGTGCCTCCCATGCGGTACATCTCCAGTTTCTCAATTCTGGTGGCATTTCTATCGAATTCTCGGGTTGGGTTCAATTCACAACTTCGTGCTCATGGCTACAGTCTTGTGTTTGCTGGCCTACCACCCTGCCGCCCGAAACGTGCCAGATCTCATCAGATCTCGCAATCCAAACGCAGGTGTTGGGCCCGGATCGTGCTTGGGTGGGCGACCGTTATACATGGAAAAGACGTTATCGGCAGCAAAGGGCAGTGGAAAAAAAATCCATGATTGTGCTGTACGATGCTTGCCAAATATATGCAAATAAATCCACCATGACCAATATGGCATGGGGGGAGGCATTCATCCTGCACTGGGTTGCCAAACGGAGCTGTACACCTACTAATGTATTTTTTGATCATCTTATTTATTGCAGAAAGCGTTGCCATGTATCGAACCGTATCGATAATAATATCTCGATTTAAAGCTTTCGTGACTGCAGGGATTCATCTTCTTGGTTCTTTCGGTAAAGTCACGTAGAAGGGAAATAATAAAATAATAAAAATAAAACATAATAAAATTATTCTCACGACGTTTCGGCCACAACGCAAATTCCTTTGTCAAGGCGCTCTACCCCCTCCAACCCAGCTTAAATACACGCTGCCAAGCCTGGTGGTGTTCATTCAGACGCTGTCTTTCCGACAGACCTGTTCTTCACCTGAGGACGGCTGCTTGCGTTGTGGCCGAAACGTCGTGAGAATGATTTTATTATGTTTTATTTTTAATATTTTATTATTTCCCTTCCATGTGACTTTACCGAATAAACCAAGAAGAAGAATAATATAATTTACATGTCTGCGAAAGCCTCACCGAGTCTCACTCGTCATTGTCAGGAGAGGATCGCGGATTGGATGTTTTGCCAATTCCATCTCGAGGGAGCGTTCTGCATGAAAGCATTACCTCCCGTACCCCTGTGGGTTTTCTCAATTCGCCTCCGAGCCGGTCGCTCGTTCCCCCCTCTCCGTCGCCGGCCCTTTATTCGCCCCTAACGCAGGCGAACAATGCCGCGCACAGATCCGTGCGCAAGCTTATTCAGCGAAATCACAACGCCATCCTTGTTGAAGCACCATGTCCCCCCCCCCTTCCCATGTGCTGGATGGGAGATTACACGGAATGTCGTCGGATGTACATTTTTCTGCCGCCGGGTGTGTTTTCTTTGGAGCAAGTTCATGCGAGCGTTCCTGCGTTTTGCCTTTGGCCCTAAACGCAGTGACAAATGCTGGCCCACGAAGTGTTTAATTTTATCGGCTGGGGGACTGAGATGACAAGGAGATAGGAGTACAGCAATGGATTCTATAATGTATATATGTCTAATTACTCTTCTTGGTTCTTTCGGTAAAGTCACGTAGAAGGGAAGTAATAAAATAATAAAAATAAAACATAATAAAATAATATAATAAAATAATATAATATAATTACTTTCGCATCGTACTTAGCCAACCGTGCTAATCGGAGGTGTGGGGAAAGGACAACAAACACAAAAAGCAGTTCTAAAGAAATGAGTTTTCAATCTAGATTCAAAAGTGCATAGCTCCAGTGGCTTCCTAATATCGGAAGGAAGAGCGTTTCAGACAGCAGCAGAAGAGCATCTGAAATCGCGCGATGCAGTGACAATCGTTGTTTGATGGCCTGCCAAAAGCCACTTGTGTTTGAACTTTCGAGTTTGCATAGCGCCCACGAGACCACGTGACGGATAGTCTGTTTGAAGTCCCTGTAATGTGTGTGTTGAAGGTTTCCCTGTCAGATATTCACGAGATGGCAGTACACCAATGGATTGTCGAATCTCTCTTTGCGGGGCATTCGGTGTTATTCACCTGCAATGAGTGGTGGGCTTGCTGTGGGTACCCCCGCTGCCTCCCACGGCGAATTCGGACACATCAAGGGATGGAATTGGCCAAACGTCTCAATGCAGAGCCCATCCTGAAACAGTCTTGAGATGAGGGCATGATCGTAACGCTTTTTTAAATGAAGAAGCAACCTGTAAAAACAATTGCATATCATTTTATGCGTTCTTTAAACAGCACGAATCCATCCAACATCACGCCTATGACCAAATCACGGCAAGTGCTAAGCAGTTGTGGGCCTGGACCGTGAGCGCTTGGTGGACGGGCGACTGCGAGCGTGCGCGGATCCACGGCGATGCGACGACTACTTGCGCCCTGGCGGTTGTCCGAGAAGCTCACTGCTTGGTGTCCGTTGCTTCCGTGTTCCAGAGGTTCCAGGAGATTGAGGAGGCTCACCTGCAGAGCCTTCACGACTTCATCAAGGCCTTTTCCCAGGCTGTGGAAGACACGCACACCCTCATCGGGCAGGTGGGAGCGGTCACGTGTGTACACACGCACAAAGACACCCCCCCCCCCCCCCGGTGTATAGCCTCCAACAGACTGTCGGGGCGAGTGTCGTTCGCGAGGAACTATCATGGCGATGACGTCACCACACAGCCTCTTTTTAAGGCTTTGTCTCACCTGTGCGAGATCAAAAGGATGCCACAAGGCAAACAAGACAAGGACAATGCAAACGCCAAAGCATTTATAGCTCAGGTTTAGCAGTTTGAATATTGTTATTATGCCAGAAAGGGTAAAGCATTTCTTATATATATGTAATATTAATACATACACGCTTGCACATGCACAAAGCCACATACAAACACATGCACCTATGTACGTGTACACGTCCGCTCGCTTGCACGCTTCCGCACAAGCACACGCACACATATGCATGTACACTGGTATAGACTAGGTTTGTAATGGTTGCATCGATTGAATTCAATTCATATCAAGATTGAATTCAATTCTTCTGCTCACGATGCATGCATCGAATTATATATGTGAGGTTTGATCATTGTTTATATGTGTAGTGTGAATGCACCGCGCGTGCATTCATGCACGCGGTGTTGGCTGAACCCCCGCTGGGGAACGGGCGAGGTTGGAGGTGCAGGTGTAGGCAGGCTAGCAGTGGAGAGGCTAGCGGAATCTTTAGTCTGAGTGTGATAGGCTAGCGGGGTGAGAAGCTAGCAGAGCATACAGAGAGAGAGAGAGAGTCCGTGACAGGCTAGGAGAGCGGTGAGTAATAGGCTAGCGGAGCGAGAGAGAGTTACGCTCGAAGTAGCAGGCTAGCGGAGGAGTGCGTGGTGTTGAACAAGAGGAGCATCCGTGTGGGATGCTGTGAATAAAGTGACACAGGAGAAAAGACGAAATTGTCCGCGAGAATAAACACCACACTACACATGTACATACATATGTACATGTGTAGGTGCTGCATGTGTTGGAGTCATATTTTGTACGAGTGGGTGCAGTGGTGCAGGAGTCCGCGCACAGTGTTATGAAACTAATGACCTCAGTTCCATCTCCGTCCATGTAATTATGCCAGAGAGTAATTATGCACGTGTGTTCAAGTTCAAATCCATTTATTAGGTGTAGCCCTGTGAGCCATTGGGCTCTTGAATCGGGTGCAACCGCAACAAACAAAAAACAAAAACATGAACAAGAAAACATCTTAAAGTGACTATGTGCAAACTGAAAATCTAAGAAAACAGGAAAATTCCACAAAAAAGCACCATACACCAACGCTGTGTGCAAAAATCCCGTATGCATGTATTCGTGTGTGGGGAGCGGGAGTGTAGCGGTTAGTACGCTGCGCTACGCACGAGCTCGACTCCCACTTAAGGCCAACACCAGTGACAATTATCTGAACTGCTCCTGGTCCTCCCCTGGGTCGACTCAGACTCAAATGAGTACCTGGTGTGGTGTGTAAAAATCGCCACAAGGGAGGCAAAGGCAGACTGGCGTGCTGTTGGCGACCCACCCTCTCGTGTACTGTGCCGGCCTTCATAGGTGCTCGAAAATTGCACTTGCCCCAGCAATCTGTTCAACGGCTATACGGGTGAATCTTTGTCTTTGTGTGGGACTTAGGTGCACATGGAGTTCAGGCAGCAGGTGCGGGACATCACTGCGGATAATCTCATCGAGAAATACTCGGAGAGCAAGGGCACGGGCAAGGAGCGTCCAGGTGAGCAGCGAGCGCCAGGCACGTGGAGCCTTGTCGTGCGACCTCTTCTCTGCTCCCTCCCCTCCCCCTCCCAATTGCCACCCCCCTCCCCCTCCCAATTTCCACCGCCACTCCGTAGAACCAAACCCAGAGGTCGTCGGTTCTTTCTCCCGGCGTGGCAGTTCAGAATCTGTATTTGTCCTGAAGGAATCCGTTGAGCTATGAAGCTTTTTCACAGATGTCCAGTGGCTAAACAATGGGAACGTTTTCAGTCCGCCCCCCTTTCCACCACACCCGCTTCTGTCCACCCAGCAGTATAAATGGGTAAACCCACAGCTAGTCGCTCATGTGGTTGGGTAAGTGTGGTACACCTACCATCTGGTCAGTTTTGAAGAGTGGGCTAAATATTCTCTCTCTAGAGCTTTCACTCGAGCATGCCCGAATGATAATAGATCCATATACACAGGTTTGTAAACCTACTTGCTGTTCTGCTCTCTCCAGCCACCTTGCATCCCATCCATCAGGTTTTGGGATCCTCAAAAATGTTCATGATCCACCAACACATTCCTCCAAAGGGCTGCTTTACAGGTGTGCAAACCCTACCGTTTCATCACGATAATATTTTTTTTTTTAATTCGTAAATTATGCACTATTTTCACGAACGAAGCGTTCATAATCTTTCAGCCTTGGCGTTGCGTGCAGTGAGTAGGCAGGTTTTCGTCACTTACCTTTGTGTTTGCGCACGTGCGTTTGTGTCTGCCGAGTCAGCCGATTTTTGTTTAAAAACCACCGGACGCAAACGGAAGAAAAAGTCGCGTTACTCGGAGCAGGGGGGGGGGGGGCGGGGGACATAGGCTCACAAATCGTTCGACGTTCAGCGCCAGCACGCGTTGGGATCGAACGCCCCCCGGAAGAAACGTGCACTTCGTAATATCAGAACGTCCTCAGCGAGACCTTGACACGTCCAGTCGAGAGAAAAAAAAAATGTAGCGTTCGTTTTGACTGGTGGCGGTGCCTAAGTTGAAAGCCCGGCCTGCCCTTTCATCCTGCCGCCTTTTGTTTCCCCCACGTGCAAGCCTGTTCTTGTTGGTCTTGGAACTGGTTTGGTGTCTGGGGGGAGGGGTAGTATAACCGGGGTGAGTGGTGGGAGGCAGCTATTGAATGTCGTTTTGGACGGCCCTTGCTGTCCAGAGGAGTCTGTCCCTGCCACTCGGCAGCGCTTCGGGGCCGTGCGAGCCACTTACGTTTTAAATTGGCCTCCATAATCATAAAAACAAAGGCAACCAAAAGAAACTGCCCTCTCTTCCGCCCCGCCGATTAATACTTAATGCGTGCGCAATTCAGGGCGGTGTGTGTTGGGGCCAGGAGATGCGGTGTTCCCAGTGGAGATGCTAATGTACGTGCGTGTACGTGCATTAGTGAGCGCGTGAGCGTCTGTGTGCGTGCATGTTTCTGTGCGTACTGTACAGGAGGGATGCAATGGTTCATCGAACGCGATCGATTTGGGATTCGACGCGTGCATTGATCCGTGTGTTGTGTGTAAGAATCGATTATGTACCATCTGGTTTTGTTGGTTGCAGTAGTTAGCCGTTATGAATTACAGTTGTTGATCGGTTCAGCTCTACAGCAGCTCGGGGATTTGTCGGGATTCGGGGAAGGGAGGGCAATTGGTTGAAATTCAGATCGAGAATCGATTCTCTGTTGTCCCGTTTTCACCGTTAATATTTTTCCCATGTTGTCTGTTCTGTCTGCACAATTTGGTTTGTCTGTTCTGTCTGCACAATTTGGTTTGTTGCGTCAGCCAAAGTGTAATGTGCTTTTCCGCGTATACCGGGAGCAAAACATCGAAGTCAGTGAATGGGTGCATGGTTGCAAGCCCTGATAGACTATATACATTTATACCACTCTAGACATAACGAGCAACAAGAATCGCGATTAATTTATCAAATCGCAACCCCTAAATTGTGACAATTCATCGTTTTGTCGAGGAGGAGGTGGATCCGTTCCACTCCTTCCTGGTCGCACAGCCACCTCGTTCCACACGCGCGTTCCCTTGTTTCACACGTCCCTACTTTAGGCGGCTTTGTGAATAAGCAGAAAAAGGAAAGAATAAACGCGAAAGAACGTCTTTGCGTTTGGACGTCGCTTACGGAACAGATTAATATTTCACGAGGTCGCCCCGAAGGTTGCATGGCTCCAGCCATCGATTCGGCCGGCCGTGTTATTTCAGGCCCTTTTGGAAACACTGTCTCTTGCCCAAGTCCTCCCGGCCTCGCCTGGATCTTCGTGTTGGTGGCGTGGGCGCGCTAGTGACGATCCTCTGCGCGCATACAAATGCCGGAATAGGCTCTCTGCGTTCTGCAGCGTTTCATTTGATTTGAGTCATTATTACCTTCGTGCTGTGTTATGCTGAGCTCGTGGGCTGCAGTGACGAGGTGTTGAGGATTATAATTATTATTATTACAATTCGTGTTGTTGTTGTCATGCTTTCCAACTGTGGTTTAAAGCATTTATGCGCGTTCCTACAAAGTTGCGTCGCTCTTTGGGACGCGCTGAATTGTGCTCGTCACCGGAAAGGACATTTTGACTTTGGTGGAAAGGAAGGAGGGATTTACCCTTCTTGAAAACTGGCCACATTTATTAACTGGTTTGCACAAACTACACCTGAGAACTCTTTTAATCACTGGCAGTTGAAAGCCGAATGCCTCCGATGTAAGGTTTGGAGTGATACCTTGGATTTGCAGTTGTTTTTGTTCATGAGACTCAGAGAGTCAAAATCCATCCAGCGTTTTGTCTGCTTAAACAGATGCCGATGGACAATATTGGTCCCAAAGTCTCACAGGATTAGAGACCTAAACGTATTAATTGTTTTATTTTGGCGATGAAGCAGTAGCTTGTCTGTTATCTCATTGTTAGAACAGGCGTCCTACGGAGAGACTGGCTCCTGTCACGATAATGTAGAATCTCCCCAAACTGTTTTGGGGCTGGCAATCGAGGTGATTGTCGACCCATTGCCCATTTGAGCAGGAAAGTGCTGACTTTGTCTCATAGTACAGCAAGTAGGTTGCTCACAGGCAGTCGGTGCAGAATTTCGAGTGCTTTGCCCCTCTCCTGCGTGTGGGTTGTCTCGTGGCACTGCGGTGTTCGTCAGAAAGGTAGATAAATAAATGCATAAATCTGGAATGAAATTGCACTGACTCACACGCAGCCAGTCCTGGGATTTTAGCTCACTCACGCTTCTCTCTTGCTATCCCCATGGCACTGCTGGGCTAGTGGGCAGGCCTGGCCTGCTCCCTCTCCTCATTGGAGGAGGCGCAAGAGAGCTCCCGGCACAGCAGATAACGGGGGCGGGGTTTGGACGAGCGATGTTAACATCAGGATTCGACGCCAGTCGCTCGCTCACGGTACGAGCAGCTCTCGTCCCACCGGGGACATTTATTGACTCCTTCGCCCGCTCGCCTTATCAAAAATAGAGAAAACAGCAACAACTAAAGTAATAATAAATAGGAAGGTCGGCATTTGACGGGGCAGACAGCTGGGGCAGGCATGGCCAGGCGAATGTGCTGTCGGTGGCTGCACTTGGCACCAGGTGAGGTCGTCCGTCTATTGTCCATCACCTGTCCCGTCGTCTGTCCGTCGTCTGCCGCTGCTCGCCGTGTGCGGCGCCGTGTGCCCCCCCGTGCCGTCTTCTGGGCCCGGGCTGTGGCGTTCTTCTCGGCGTCCGGCTCGGGATGGTCTCACTCGGGAGCTGCGACGGCCGTCTACGGAAGGGATGTGCCGCCACCCTTTGCTAAATTGACCGTCTTGTTTGTCTGCCTGCTGCTTTGTTGGCTCGCTTGCTCAGGTTTGGTTTCGTAATTTCATTTGGCAGAGGTGGCTGTGTCGCTCGGGGCTCAGACCACCGAGCCGTCACTGTTGCACGTATTGAACCTGGGCCACCACCTGTGATTAAATTGAGTTTTTAAATTGTTAGTCTCGACCCAGTCACCACAGATGGTTGCAATACAAAACCCACTGCATTTAATTTGATTATGTTCTTTGTTTGCCTGAATTCCAACTGAGAATTCAAAAAAATATATATAATTTTGACTGCCATGCAGAGGATACAAAGAGTCATTTTGAATGCATATCAGAAGTCGTTGTGATAGCACCTTCTCGAACACATTGTTCTGCCAGAGTTTCCGAACGGATCCATCGTCCCTTGACGAGACAGCCGTTAGCACCATGAAATAGAGAAAAGGCAGAAAGTTGGTTCACTCCGTTTGGGTGTGGTGATTAAATAATTATTTTTTTCCCCTCATCCAGGGTGTCAACCTGAGATGATGCTGCCTATTCACAGTGTCGATGATCCACGCTCCATTAGCGATGGGACCAACTCTCCCCATTATATTCGCTGTGCCCGCGGAGTGGCGGCAGTCGCGGTTGCCGCACTACGAGCTCATTTTTTTTTTACCGTCGTAAGCGCACAAACCTGGTACAGGACGTCAATGGTTTCAGGGGGGGAAGGTTGATGAACTCGGTTACTTGAATTAGATCCCTGGTCGTCACGCGTCGGCATCAGTGTCGAGCAATATCTGAGCCGTTCCTGATCCGTCCTCCACCCATTCGCCTTTCACCAACCCGTGCCGACCTGTGTGGTGAAGTATGGTTAAGCAACACGCGTGACGAAGGGGGGGGCCCTTTGTACAGTGGATTGGCAGAGGGCTGCCGTACGCGTAACATTCAACGCTCGGTGCAGAGTCGCCAATGCGGAACGCTTCAAATCTCTTTGCCAGCGGGGATTGGGCCATGGCTAATTAGTCGTGACCGGCTCTCCGTGGAAACAATTAACTTCGTGTGAAACTGCCGTCGTTTAAATTTTGTTTTTATTAAGTGTTGCAAACGCCGCTGTTCCTTCACCAGTGCCGCTCATGGTTCATGTGTCTCTTGCAACAGATGCTTGTTGCCGTGGTGGGCTGTATTGTGGGGTGGTGACCGATGGCTTGCGTAATCTGTCACTCTGCTAATTATATTATTAGTCTGCTTCATCAGTTAATTAGATCATCTTTTCAGTGATTTTATTTCCCCTCATTGACTATAAAAGAACCTGTTTTTATGATTAAATTGTTATTTTATCTGTATAGCTATGGATTTATATGTCCTGGTGCCCTCATCCGTACATCTGTCTGTTTATCCTTCTGTCATTTTGCCTGTCCATTTTTTTTGACCGTCTGGCCACCTATCCATCCATCTACATGTCTGTCCCATCTTCCTGTCTCGTCATTCTTCCATTTGTTTATCTGCCCATCTATCCATCCATCTATCCATCCATCTATCCTGTCTGTCCGTCAATCTATCCGTGTCTCTGTCCGTACAGCTCTCTCTGTAGAAATGGCATTGCACAGTGCATCCGAACAAACGTCCCTTCAACGTGTTCCTAACACATGGGCGTGCCCCCGGTTCTCTTGTTCCGTCACGTTAGTCCCCCCCCCTCCCCCTGCTCCCCCCCCAGCCTCCCCGAGTCTCCCGGAAGCTCGTCAGGCTAGTTAATGGATGGGGGTCCGTGTCTGCCCTCACTGCAGCAGAGGCGGCGTTTTTTTTCCCGAACCGTGGCTGAGGGCTAATGGGGGTGGCACATGTGCGAAATCGAGTTTCATGTTTCGCTGATGGTGGGGCAGTTGGTTGCACCCGCTGACTCGCACTGTCATCTCGCTGTGTCATCGTCGGCATCATCATCATCTTCTTCACTGTCACCATGATGGTGAGGTTTATGAGCTCAAGGCACTTGGGTCGATTGCAGTATCATCATCAATCATCATCATCATAGTCATTGCCACGATCACATTTATGCTTACCGCATCGTGATTTTAATTGTCTACATCATGTTAAACATTAGCATCTTTATCGTCATTGTCATCATCGTTATCATCATTAATATTTTAATGAATGTCATCTTTCTCATCATCATCATCATCAAGTTAGCCCCGGAGATGGGTTAAATCCATTCAGCTACTCTTGTTAACATGCCATCAGATTCTACGTGGATTGTCTCTTTACCAAGAAATGCGATGTTTTATCCCCCGTCACGTTCGCTTCATCATTTCAATTCCGCTCGATTAATCAATTTAAGAATCGCATTTTTTTACGTTGAGGTAAATGGTAGCACCACTTGCAGCAGCAGACGAGGGGGTGGGGGTTGTCCTGTTAACCCATTACGTACATACTCACAATCCGCCATGACCAATCCACTGCTGGATGGAGGTCTGCCCAAGCCGCCATCTGTCACTGCCCTGTGATGCGACGAGCCACCTCAGCTCCTGTTCACAAGCACCGTACATTGAGGGGTGCACCGATCTTAGGAATGTCCCCGCTTGTCCTCACGTGGTCCCGTTCCATATCCTGGCTTTGTTTCTGCGCTCCGGTCTCATGCGGACCCTCGGTCAGCTGACTTGGAACAAGGCGGGGGGGGGGGGGGGGTCCTTGCTCTGTTAAAAAATAATCCTTTTCTTCTCAATTGATATATAGACTCACGGAACCCCCCAGTACACGACGACTCGTGAGAGTCTGCGCAGAGGGCAGGGCTGGCAAAGCAGCCGATAATTGGATTTGTGAAGTCAATGTGAATTGTGCTCTGGGTCGTTAAATTCGTTTGAGCTGGGTTTTTTTTTTACTGTTATGAGTTGGGTGTGGTGGTGGTGGTGGTGGTGCACTCCTGTGATCAGGCGTTTCGGAGTCGAGGGTTAGTGGATCACACCGAGGCTTTTGAAACTGCCCGACACGCTTGGCCTTGCTGCAAGATGATCAGGAGATGGCGTTAATAGCAAGTGGGTTCGTGAACCCATCTGTGCGGACATTTGAGTGGTATTCGTTGGTGCGTGTGGGTACATTTTTATCCCACATATCAATCATGCATTGAAGAGGAATTTGTCAAAACAACCGACTCCATCATCATCAGCCATGGTCTCTCCACTGCTGGATGAAATCCCACCCCCTCCGCTATACGGAGGCTCTTTGTCTTTGTTTGCGTTGCAGGACCGTAAGAGTCGGGGGCGGGGGGGGGTACGACAGTTTGGGAAGGCCTCCATCCAGCAGTGGATTTATTTTATTTGTTTGCATGTCAATATTGCTCAGGAGCTTATTTGCAGTGTCGAGGTCTGCTGCTGGTGCTAGCCACAACGAGAGGGCTTCAAGAGAGAGTCTGTGCAGTTTCACTCCTCTTCCATTCAAGGAGCGCAGACTTGCAGTGGTGGTTTACTCTTCATAATCAACGTTTTTGGGTTTAGATCGCGTTATTTATAAATGTGTCGTAACCCTCCACCACCCGACACGGCCAATCAGTAAAAAAGTGTCACGTTGACTAAAGACAAATAGTTCACTGCTTTAGCCCACCGGTGTGTTGAAGCGTAAAACCACAACATTTACAATTTTAGTACGACGTTTCGCTGGTAATTGCATCCAGCATCATCGGGCAATTCGCCAGAATGGTGAGGCTCTGCTGGATGCAATTACCAGCGAAACGTCGTACTCAAATTGTAAATGTTGTGGTTTCACGCTTCAACACACCGGTGGGCTAAAGCAGTGAACTATTTGTCTTTTGTCAACGTGACACTTTTTTACTGATTGGCCGTGTCGGGTGGTGGAGGGTTACGACACATTTATAAATAACGCGATCTAAACCCAAAAACGTTGATTATGAATAATATTGGTCGCGAAAGCCTACGTGTTGAAGTGGTTTACTCTGTGATCCGTAGTTTGGTTTGCATCGCCACAATTGCACCGTGGCTTTTCTAGTGGATTAATCGTGGCTGATGATAATGATTAAGCTCTTAAGCAAAGGCTGAATGAAGGGCAGCCTGGACAGTGAGGTCATCCGTTCTGTGTGATCGCGTGACTGGAACATTGTTTGGAGGAAGGGTGATGAGGGTGCAATGGTCCTGGCTCCATCACTTGGTCTGGCGCGACAGCCGATTGGCCACCTTGAAATCCTTTCTTTGGCAGGAGCATGCGGGGGAAAACACGTCAATAAGAGCACGGGCGAGGTTGCACATCCGATGAGCCGCTATTTTTAGCCTTTTTCACCATCTGAGCTGCCCCTTGGTAAGAAGTGTGTTCATTCATCCGCTCGGCGGTGATTCAATGAAATTGTGACAATTGGCGAAGGCGGCCGGCTGTGCCTGATGCTGACCACACCCTCGCGTCGTGCACCGTTACGGGCTGTTAGAGGTGCCTGCTGACAACGCTTGCCACTGCAGTCTATGTAGGCTACATGGGTGGCGAGTGGGTTTGGGGGGATATTTGTCTTTGTGCCGAGAGTATGCGTCTATTTATTGCATACATGCAGGTTAAATTGTTACACCTTCTACATCGTGGGGCTGATTTCCACCTCGTAAGAACTGCCGAAAACACACCGCCTTGGCGATTTACCCCTTTGTGGGCGATGCATACATCGGCACACGGTTTGCGCAAAGTTTGAGTAAAAACGAACGTTCTCCGAGCATCTGTAAATGATGTACGCTTATAGAGATGTAATTTGTGTAATTAGCCCCGGAGATGTCAGCACAGCGAGACAACCCAGAATTGTTTCTTATTGTCGTGAAGGAGCCTGGGACCACGGTGGGATGATGGGTTTTATTTTCTTCTTCCCTTTGTGTCTGTGATCAATGCGTTCATCATTTAATTGCTGCGAGTGCTGTTCCTACCCTTGTGTGCGTGTGTGCACGTGCATGTGTGTGCGTTGCCTTGCTTGTGTGTGTCTTTGCACCTGCGCATGTGTGTGTGTGTTTACGTTTGTGGGCTTGTGTGTGTTTGACGGAAGAACGGTTAGTGCGGTGCTTCCTTGATGGTTAACCTTGGCCAAGAATTGAACTCGAGTAACTGGGTGCATAGCGCACAGTATGCTTTGCCCAGTGCCACCACTTTGTCTGGCTATGAATAGCCAGCCATATCTGAACCTGACCTGGGTCAATTCAGTCTTTAAAAGATTTGTATTTCGTGTGATGGGTTAACGGCATCACGTCCTGACAGACGTGTCAAGCTGCCTTTTTTTTTTCTTACAACAAAACGCGAGCCCAATACAACACGCTGGAATATTCCGGGAACGGGGTACGGAAAATCCGTGGTAATCCATTTTGGCGTGACCGAACCGCCATGAAAGGGGAGGGAAGAAGGGGAATAGGGGCCCCTGCTGCCCCAGCCAAGTTGGGGGGGACCTCACTCACTTTAATAGGTGCTCGCTAACAGCTCTTGCCCCTATCTGCAAAGGCTAACCGGTGGATCTTTGTTTATATGTTTGTGTGTGTGTGTGTCCTTCACAGGCCCCATTGAGTTTGAAGAATGCAACAGCACCAACTCGGCCAACATGATCGAGGGTAGGCATTTGGCATGCTTCACCCCGTCTGTCTCATTGTGCGGTGGCAGAAGGCAGTGGCTCGGCAACCTTGATAAGACAACGGCGTTTGCCCGGGAAAAAAAATCCCCGCGACTTTCAAGTTGCAGTGACGAATACGTGAATTGGTTCGAGGAGATGCTAACGCTCGCATATACACTCATCGAATGGCTCACGTGACAATCGTTTAAATTTCGATTTAAAGCTTTCGTGACTGCAGGGATTCATTTTATTGGTTCTTTCGGTAAAGTCACGTAGAAGGGAAATAATACAATTATAAAAATAAAACATAACAAAATACAATTCTCACAACGTTTTGGCCACAACGCGAGCAGCTGTCCTCAGGTGAAGAACAGGTCTGTTGGAAAGACAGCGTCTGAATTCAGACGCTGTCTTTACCGAAAGAACCAAGATGAGAATAGAATGTTTTTGTATTTATGTAAACAATATGCAATTGTTACGCTTATGCTAAATGGTGAGTGGGGAGGGGGTGGACGTACAAATAATACATTTATGGAAATTTGAACTACGACATGAGTTGTGACAATTCATAGAATTGCCGGAGGGGTGGATGGCTGACTCGTTGTACGCCCAGTTCACCACACCTGGCGCTCAGCGTTTGGACGTCATGTCGACGGCCGCCGTGGGTTCGACTTTGCAGCAGGGGTGGGGAGGGTACGGCCCACGGGCCCCGGACTTCGCCCGCGGATTCAATTCACGTGGCCCACGATCGCATGATGGGCTCCCGCTTCGAACCGGCCTGCAAACAATATTTATCCATCACTGCAAGCATCCTAGCCATATTGATTGGGTGCTATAGCGGAGGTTGGGGCAGAATATTTAGGTCTATATAAATGTAGCGTTTCTCAATTTAGTGCATTTTAGTCCCTTTTGTCGCTGCGATGGCCTCTGGAATCCATTTTTTAGGTGGCAGGGTGGGTGCAGTCTTCACGCTTGTGTCTCACAGCAAGAAAGGCCTGGGTTTGTGTTTCCCAATTCGGCTTCCTCATATGGAGTTTGTGTGTTCTCTCACTGTTCTGCATGGGTTTCCTTTGGGCTATGCAGTTTCCTCCAATAGCTAAAAAAAATAAATCCAAAACATTTCAATTTTGAAAAATGTATGGTTTTGGTGACACCAGACGCGAAAAAACTTGGCAGGAAAAGTAGTGTGTGACTCGGTGAGGCTTTCCTGGGCCTACTGATTACAATATGAATAATACAATATTCCTCATCTCATGGCGGGACGCTGGTAGCGCAATCAGGCCGTCTCGTTCGTCCCTTGTGGGATGCATGCTGTATTGGATTGTCGAGTGCTCCTTGCTGATACCTGCGCGGTGTGTGTGTGCGTGCGTGCGTGTGGGTGTGTGTACGTGCGTGTGTGTGTGTGTGCATGCGCACTGCCGCCCAGGACTGAGGAAGAGAACGAGGAAAGCGTTTGGAAGAAGAAAGAAAGAGAAAGACACGGACTCCACGTGAGTGACGCGATGACCGGGTGTGGTGGAGCACGTCCTCGGTCCGGTGCCCTATAGGGCGAGGGGTGATGGATCACGTAAAGAAATTACGAAATTCCCAAACCTGCTGTGGGATGTCTGCGAGGCGGCCAGAATATTTGCAGTACAGCAAGTGGGTATTGTGAACCCATATGTGTCGACCGTTGAGTGTGAGGCCCTCATTTTCAATACGATACAATTTTGATTATATAGTTTCCAAACTTACGCTTCATCTCAATTGGCTGTACCAAATTATCTAACATGTGCATATCTGGGGAAAAGAAGTGTCATATAAAAAAATAGCCAGTCGTGGGCGGTGGAGGAGGGGAAAGTCCTTAAGCCTTGACTTGAACCGGGGCAGTGAGTCAATGGCACGGATGGGTGGGGCAAGGACATTCCAGACGATGGCGGGAGCAGAGGAGAATGAGTGACCTCCCACTGTACAAAGGTTGAATAGTGGCTTCGATATTGGTAGAGGAGAGTTGAGTGAGGTGAGAGGGAGAGAGGTCGTGTGCATTTTAAATACAATAAATAATCATAAAATACCTGCACTACAAAATTCAACTGCACTGTCCGATAAAAGCCCAACTGGCTAAGTGATCGGTCCAGATGCACGCGCGCGTTGTTAGACGTTGATCAAACTCACATTAACACACTGGGCCTTTGTCTCGTTTTGTTTCTTCGCAGGGAATCGCCAGACGCAGACTCAGTTGTGAGTAACGCACCGCATCGTCACATTTCCTCCCCAACTGAAACCCATCCACGCGTTCCACCGAAGCCTGACTTCTTTCCTCCGCTGTGTCGTCGTTCACTCAGAAACGTTCCCAACTGTCGCTACGCCGCCTCCTGTCGTGATGGTTCCCTTCAGGGCCCTGTGCCTGTTCTTGCGAAAAATGTCGCGGAATCCACGCGTTGTCGGCTCGACGCCGTGGTCACGTGAATTCCAACCGGCGTTTAAAATTTGTGGGCGAAAGCCACCGAGTGAGGGATTTCACGGTTTACAATCCTGGCATTGTGCAGCAGATAAATACATTTGTGTCTCAGTACGCAGGGGGTGTAAATAATTACGTTGGCTGTTTGGGGCGTGGCGACGATTGTCGCGCTGTGCATTGAAAAATGTACGTCCACTATTTGTCCAATGTCTTGAAGTTCTTCCCAACATTATTTGATATGTATGTGTTTTAAATCAACGTAGAGAGCGGACCGTTTTGGTTGATATTTTGTTTTTATTATGAGTAGGTGTTTGCCCCCATTCCATCTGTCATACTTCAGCTTCCGCCTGTTTTAACTTTTATCCCCAATCTAGGGGCGTCGCGTTACACCAGTTTGCCTGCATATTGATGAAAATAATTACAGACTTAGGATTGTTAAAGTGATTAATTGCCCACTGTTCCTGTGATGTGAACTCAAAACCTGGCAATTATTTATTTCGGTATTACGCTTCTGCCTTAAATTAATTAATTGGGCGCACGAGCGTCCATGTGACTATGCACACAACTGCTCACGTGCCCAAATAACTCGTCGCATTATACACTTTTTTAAAATTCGTATGCATTTTCTTTTTTTTAAGTCTGCGTTATTTGACGAGCATGAGTTATTTTCACTTAATTTGTGTCGGGTTTAGCGCAGTCAGAGTACACACACTCCTGGCATGTGGATTATGGTGGCGAGGTCGCTTACACTCGTGCGCCGTTGCAGGTCAAGGGACGTGCTAACGTGACGCTCACGGTGACACCTGAGTTGATGATGACTGGTGAGTGGCAAGTGTCGCTTTACACTTGCCACTCACCAGTCTGCAACTCACCCAAACCTCAACACTCACCAGTGATTGCAAAACAGCGGAAAGCTCCATTGAGATTCGGAGACTCCCACCGCCCTTACCTATAAGTTGTATCAATTTGAAATTAAGTCATGTCAAAGGTCTGGATATTTTAAATGGTAAAGCGTATAAGCAATGCTAGGACCGATCACACAAATTGTGTTTTTTTTAATACTTCCATCTCGTTTGGACGACGGAGTTCTCCAGGCGTAAAGGTACATCGAGATGAAAAAACACGTTCATATTATCACTCCCGCACCTCTGATTAGCATGGTTGGCTATGTATGGTGCAAAAGAAGTTCAGCATACATACACGCATCCGCGTCTAAATCAAGAAAAACTTCCCCATTAAGTTGCATTTGGCACGCTTTTCGTGCCCGCTGCCTTGCAATGAAGTCAACCGAGAGAATATCTTTGGTCAGTGCGACCCGCCCCCCCCCCCCCCCCCCCACGACGTCCTGATTTTTCCTGCACCACCATCACCGCCACCACCACCACCGCCCTTTCCTCCGTCCGCATCTCTTCTTACGGCGCCCGGCCACGCACCCCTCCTCGTCTTGGATGCGCCGCAATTCTGCACAAGCACCTCCCTTTGGGTATCGCCCCCCCGCCCCCCAAAACCAAGAACGTCACGTGACGCGCGAGCTCGTGGGCTGTGCTATTGGTTTTCACGTCCACAGTGCGGAGAGCGTTGCCGACGCCCGCCTATGAACACCAGACGCGAACGCCAATAGCACAAGCTGCGTTTTTGTTGTCAGCTACAGCGAATGAAGTCTCCCCGCGTCCCCCCGGCTCCCCACCCCCCCACCCAAACCCACCTACCTTTGGGTTTAATTTGCACCTCTCTTTCTGCGCCTGTTCCTCTCCTCCCTGACGCTAGCCACAGAAGTTGCCAAACGGCGCTCCCAATGGCTATGTTGGGGAGATAGAGTGGCAGAGATATGTAAGTACGCACCTGCGGCCGGCAATGGCGTTTTGCAACGCTGGGGGGGGGGGGGGTGAGGGCCCAGCTTGTGCAGCGTGAGCGGCGGTTTCATTTTGGGTGGGAAGGGGCAGGGGGGGGCGGCACTTGGGTGGTGGCACTGTTCGGGAGAGGGGGCGCAGTTCCCCACCGTTCAGGTTTGGTTGGAGTCCTATACGGCCACTGTTTTTTTTGGAATTTATCATTTTGCTGATATCTGGAAGGACCTAAGTCTGGCTGGCTGTTGTGGACTGGACAATAAAGGCTATAATGAGCGATGATTCACCATCTTACGGGATTCGGTGAGTTGTAGCGGCCACTGGTGACTCTGATTTCCTGATTTCAAGTGGGAAGGCGTTCCATCGCTTGGGTGCCACGCTAATAAAAACCTGATCACCCAAAGAGCGCAACCTCGACCTGGGAGTGCTGAGCAGTTGGAGGTCCGAAGGTCTTAAGGACCTTGATGGAATATATAAACGTATTAGTTCCTGCAAATAATGTGGCGTGAACCCTTTTGAAGCCTTATAGGTTGATAGCAGTATCTTAAAATCCACTCGGAATTTGACCGGTAGCCAATGAAGAGATAAGGTTTGAGACGCGTGTGTGTCTCTATCCCCGAGTCCCACACGTTGCTCAATGCCGTTTTCGGTACCCCGGCGCGTGGGCGCGAGGCCACGGCCGCCCCCTCCCCCCCCCTCCCCCGGGTTGAGAATGCGTGAAACGTTGTTTTGCCATCACCCCCTCCCCCCCCCCCGGCTTGTGGGGTAAACACAGCGGCGGTGGCGGGTCGAGGCCGAAATAGCTTGAACCGCTCCGACGAGTGGCAGATTTTTTAGATTTAATTTTGTGATTAGGGTGCCAGGAGGCAGATGTTGGAGTGCTGGGGAGATTTGGGATAAGTGCATGTGGATGGTAATTTGTTTTATATTTTTGAAATATATATATATACACACACATATGCAATGCATTGATAGTGTGTAGTTACATCCCGGTTGTTATAAAAACATGTCTAAGCAGAAACTAAGGAAAATACATTGACGTAAGTTTACTTTCGGTGCCGTTTCACGAGACAGAAAATTAACTTGTAACTCTCGCAGAGCAGTGCAACGTTCCGCGTTAGATAACGGATGTCGCAGAATCATCTCTGAGATCGTTCAAGTAATCACACAAACAATGGGGAAGCACATTCCCACCCCTCCTAGCACATGACAATAAATATTCATAATAATGTGCAGTTAAAATTATAATAGTTTATCGTGGGATTCGAACTCGGGTTCGCTCATTCGTAACCCACCACTCACCTAGGCGAGCCACAGCTGCAATGACTCATTCCCCTGACCAGTGCTGCCCCTTTTCCTCCCCTACATGCCGTCACGTGACGCGGGCAACCCTTGCCTCGTACGCATCGCGATGGAAATTGGGTCTTCAAAACCGCTCGGGTCAGCGAAAGCGACGGGTTCTGTTCGGTGCCTTCGCGAAACCCACGGCGCTTTGGCTAACCTTCCGTCCGCTGTCTTCGGAGATTGTTGCACGGCAATTGTGCATGCTGTGCAGTCAACAGCTGGCCTAGTCTAGGTGCACACTTGCCAATGGTTCCACTTACATGGTTTTTAAATCACGTCTTTATGATGCACTCCTGTCAGTCATTTGCTGGATGAGGGCTTCCCTGTGCTGTGTTTGTCATGGGGGTTGTTTGACCACACTTGGCTTAGCTGGTTAGTTGTGGACGGTGAAGGGTTAGAGTTGGGAGGGTGGGGTGGGGGAGTAGGGGATGCGTGCCCAGGACTGGTTCAGATATCGCTCGACGATGGTGTTGGCTGGTAATTGAACTGAGGGCGCTGCATGTCCATAGCGAGCGGTGTTGCTAAGCACCACACCACACCACCGCTCCACCTAAAGCTGGTCAAATAAACCCATGACCTGTGTACCCTGGGTGGGGGGGGGGGCAGGTCATCATCCAGTAGTGCATTGGCAAAAGGGCTGTACGTGTACAGATGTATGTAATTGATTTACGTGACCCTTGAAGTCACTGGAGGTGCTACATATACACAGCAGTGGCAGAAAAAAAATTCCATGATCGGATTAAATCGTGATCTCAAATCATCGTACGTTATTGGACAGAGAGGGTGGGCGAATCGTTACATACCTTCTCTTGACTGTGAGTTTAGTCAGTGTCGTTTATTGCAAGGCCCGTGGGCCACTGGTGGCCCCTGGTGGCCTTTAGTCCAGCCCCTGACGTGTGGCCCCTGACCGTAGGCAAATGTGAAAACACCCCATCATGCTGTCGACAAACCCCAATGGTTTCAAATGTACGGCGGCCCTCACACTGATGTCTTATCCCCTACTGGACATCTGTGAAAAAGAGTAATAGCTCATCGGATTCTTCCAGTATAAATACATATTTTAAATTATTCGGATTATCTTCAAAAAGTGGGCCCCCCCCCGCTTAAAATTTAGCATGATGGTTTGGGCTTCTCATACAAACATTTTTAACAAACAAAAAAAAAAATCTTACACGACTGGCACCAGGAGGCTGTGTTTTCTGGAATGTAGAAATACTAGAAGCGCATGATAAAGCGGCATGTGTGGGAGAACCCTTGGTCACTGCCCCTTTCAAGTAAAGTAAAACATTCGTTGCAATGGGTTGGCAGAGATAGAGAATCGAGAGCTGAAAACTTTTTTTTTTCCCCAACCACCAACATCATTAAAAATCTCGGACCTTCAGCGTAATGTGTGCGTGTTGTTCCCTGCATCAAACGTTGACACCCGCGCAATCCACTACGTGACCGCCGCATGCACAGAGGCTCCGCCGCGTAAAAAGTTTTGCAGGGACTCCTTTGGGATCCTTGGGCAGCTTTCCCAGATGTCGTAAAATTAGGACCACTACCCGCGCACGCTCAATTTTTATTCGCTGCACCTCGCCGTTTGTTGGCGCGGCACGAGGTCTTTTTAAATTTATTTTTAATTTGTAGCATAGTTTGTCACACTTATTTAGCCACCTTGGGTAGGCAGGTATAACATAATGACCACGCACAGCCAGTCAACCCTGTACCGCATGCACCATTGCTATTAGAAGCATTGCTCTGTGTGCCAAGCCTGTAATGATTAATCGATTCTTCGATTCAAATCTTGTCTCATGCTCGTGGTCCTGAGAACAGGTAAATTTTTGCCGTTGCAATTTGCTTAAATGTTACAATTTGGGGCGATATAAACGACGTGGTATAAACGAGACTGCGAATTATCGATTCTGTAATCGAATCGTCACTCCCCTCTCCAAATTCGTGACAACTCATTGCATTGCACCGGCTAAGGGATCAGGAGTCTGAATGCTTGGGCTTTAGCATTGTGAGCATCCGCGCTGCATTGCCGCGCATGACAGCATGGCGTAGCGCCCCCTCGTGCGCCGTGGCTTTGCGAGGCTTCGCCTGTGCCATGCGTGTGTGCTGCGAGTATGTGCCGTGCGTGCCGTACCCATGCCCGCCCGCCCCGCGCGCGTGCATTCAGAGTCTAACCAAGATGCTGCTCTACTAACCTAAACCCGAGACACGTCTTTCTGCACGTCCGCTTGTAGGAAGACTCGACACAGGAGCGTTTTTGCCAACTGCTTCAAATGAAACCGCACGTGGCAATGGGGTCGGTTACAATGACAGGGTAGCGTCATCGGCTGAACACGCAAATTGCATTGCGATTGCGATTCATCACAAATTTAAGTCTGCAATTGTAATCGACCCCAGGTCCCCGCCGCCTTTGCACGCGCGGTGTCATTTAAAAGTGTCGCGTGGTGTGGTGACGCTGACTGTCGCAAAGTGCGTCTCGGTTGTGTGCAAGCGACTGTAAGCGAGACGCTAGGCTCCGTCCGCGGCAGACGTGATGTGTTGACAGCCCTCCGCGTCCTCTTTTGGTTTCGTCTGTGGCAAACCATCGGGGCCCCTGTTTGTGTGACACCACCCGTACCGCCTGTTTGTCCGGCTTGATTTATTTATTTAGCTCGCCCACAAATTTGCCGGTTTGGGGTTGTTTTTTTTCTCTTTCCGGAATGTGGAATGTCACGGCGTGGGGCCAAGGGTTGGCACGGGTGGCGCGTTATTGACAACCGTGTATAACGATTCTTCGCCACCTATGGTTGTAAAAAAAAAAATCGTAATTAAATGCACACAAGGGGCTCCTTTGTCAACGGTGGCGCCAAATGTGTTGCACACTTTGCCGCAGTGTGCGGCTCACTCGCTCGCACAACCTCGGTGCCACTCATCATCATCACCACAACCATGGCCTGCTTTCCACAGAGATGAAGGCGGCTCGTGCCGTCTTAAACCGGATTTGCCGATGATGGCGGTCGCTCAGTTTCTGTTAACAAGTAGCGGAAGAAATGTCTCGACTCCAACCCTGTTTTCATTCGAATAAGTCACGGAAACTTTTGACGTTTTCCAATATTGGACAGTTTGCCTTTAACGGCATCTCATGCCGTCGTTTTTACAGCAGCGTCCCCGATTTTAACTGTCTCCGGTTGGAATACGTCACTTGTCGCCCGTTTCGAGCGAAAACTCATTCACTGCATCCTTATTGCACATCTGTTTGACAAAAATTTCGGGGAAGCATACATCTTAATCCCTTTGGTAAGTACTATACATTTAATCGGAAGGATGTATACATCGATTGGCTGTCGTTTTTTGCGGGCAACTTTCGTTTGCAACGAAACACCGCTTTATTCGAATCCGAATCGGAAACTTGGTGGGCCGCGTCTCCGGCAACAAAAAAGCGGAAGTCCTGCGTTGTAACGTTTTGTTGCTTGCGTTTTCCCGTTGTCGTCTGCTTTTCTCTCTCCCCCTCCGTCTTGCGTAGAACTCCCCGGAGGTGGACGAGGAAGGCTTCAGCGTTCGACCGGAGCCCAATCAGAATGATATCCTCTTTTTCGCCGGACGAACACCAGACCCGTGGTCAAATGCAATGACGGCAGCAACAGCAGCAGCAGCAGCAACAGCAGCAGCGTCGCTCTCCGAGATTACGATGGGGATTCATTTCAGATGACGTGGTTGCCGTCGTGAAACTGATTTCAGGTCGGACGCGCACCGCAGCCGGCTATAAGGGCCCCCCACCTCCGAGAAAACCCAGAGTCCTCTGGTTCAGTGGCGGCACCTCTCCCACAAAGCTCTCTGAAGGAAACGGTTTGGCCAGGAGTGGCGTGTGTTCTTCCCACGTGCGATTGGTGCGTCGGTGTAATCGGTGAACTTCTCGGTTGCAATCTTGATTTGAATCCATACTCTTTGGTTCTTTCGGTAAAGTCAAGTAGGTATAAAATAAAATAAATCACGACGTTTCGGGCGCAACACAAGCGTCCATCATTCGACAAACGGTTGCGTTCGACGAAAAGCGAAAGCTGAAATTAAGAGACCGCATTGGTAGCGGTGTATACGGAAATGCTCGGCGTGGCGTAAAACTCCCGTCGACTAGACTAACGCTACGACCCTAAAAAAAAGTTTGTTTTTGGATTCGATCGTGTAAATACAAATGTGTCCTTAAACTCGCCACCACCCGACCATTAAGGTTTGTCACGGAAACAACGTGCCAATTAGTTACTACTTCCAGCACACCGGTGTGTCCGAGGGTAAAACCCACGACGTTTGGCTACGACCCGCATCACAAAGCGGTGACAACACAAACGCATTCTCTCACCTCCGAGCCGCCCCGACCGCCACCTGCCGTGTCTCTCCGCCGCCGCCGCTCTCCTTGACGGCGCCGCACAGCCGCGCGAGAACCACTTCTACTCGTCGAGCGACGACGACTCGGACGACGAGGACCGCAAGCGGTTCCACGTGGAGATCAAACCGGTGCAGCCGCGCGACTCAAACCACAACCCGGCCGCGGCCATCGAGCAGCTGAAGGCCTCCATCGGCAACATCATGCTGTCTTCGCCCGCCACCGCGGTAGGTGGCTGTGGGGGGACGATACACGATGAAGCGTGGTTGCTCTGGGAAAGCTGCCTGCAAAACTTTTACGCGGAGCCTCTGTGCATGCGGCGGTGGATAATACGCTCACGTAGTGGATTGCGCGGGTGCCAACGTTTGATGCGGGGAACAACACACACATTACGCTGAAGGTCCGAGATTTTTAATGATGTTGGTGGTTGGTTTCAGTTTATTTTTTTATTGTTCCGTGAGCCAAGAAGCTCTTGAATCGGGTTTCGTCAACAAAAAACAACACCGCCGCTTCTCCGACAAACGCAATAATTCGCAGTAAAATACATCGACAATAAACATTAACAGATACACGAAATATAAAAAACAGCAAGTCATAATCGCGATATAAAATGTTCTTTTTTAAAAAAGAATAATTTATTTAAATATAGATGATTATCAAATAGCACACTTTATCTGTAAAACATACTAATTTAAATCTGCCATATTAATTGTAATGCAGATACAGCTTGAAACACGATGGCATTATAGTGAGGAATAAAAAAACACGGCATCCATAAAAAGCGCCGTGTAAACAACGCGCAAACGTGGTCGCTTGCATGCAATACATTTGTGTAGCTCGTCTAACTTTTTACGTCCAGTCGTTTTAACAGATGTCCATTAGTATATCCCAATGAAGCTAGCTGTTACCCCCCACCCCACCCCCCCGCCCACTGCTATCGTGACCGTCACGGCGTAGGGCGGCATTCATCCAGCAGTGGAGGTGGGGGGGGGGGCGGCAGACAGAGACGTGACAGGAAGGGGGCTTTCTTGATTTCGGGGGTTGTGGCAGGGAGTGGAGGGTTGGGGCCTCTTGCGTTGGTGTCGTAGGGTTGATGCCATTCAGAAGCAGTTGCATTGATGTCAATAGAACCGCTTGGAATTCCCTCCCGTGTTCATCTCTGCTCCCAAGCTCTCGTAACCTTGCTCAATTCAAGGCACGTGCTTGTTCACTCTTATCGATTACAACTGCCAAGGGTCTCGGTTGTTGCCGGCCGCTGCATGTTTCGTGCATCCGGGCCTGCACTTGCGAAACTGCTCGCGGTATTGTACGCCGAGATGGCAGCCTCCACGCTCCTGCGCCAACTCCTAGGCGGGGTTGGGGGGGGTCCCTCTTGGCAAAGCCCCCAAGTCACGCAGCCACGAGGCAGCAAGCCTTACCGTTGTTTGCTGCAGTAACCGATAGTCATGGTCTCCCAATCGGCACCCCGAGGTTGTGCAAGGGTACCTCCAAGATGCTCGTATGAATTGGCACACGCGCCGCGTGATCGCGCGCTCGACTGCACACTGCCGTAACCAATAGCCAGACGTGATGTGACACGCTCGCCGAGTGGCACGGCAAGTAAGCGGCCGTGTGTAACGACGCGTTTTTTGCTGTTGTGTGTGTGTGCGTTCCCCAAACTCGGCGGCCTGTGTGTGTTGCCGCGGGCAGAGGCGAAGTCCGGTAAGCGTACGGGAGTTTTGCCGTTGCCTCTATCGTCCATCGTGTGTCGCTTCTTTGGGTGTTATTATTTGCTTAATTTTTGCGGTCTGTTGCTTTCGTGGAATCGGTGCGAAATCGCTCATCGCATGCTGTGTTGTGCACTGTCATTTGTTTAAATCGTTGCTAAATTCCCATCGCGAATGGCAAGAGTCTGCGACAACCGATTTGACGCCACAGACCAACGCGTGAAAAAAGTCAGTCAGAATCAGAATATATATTCATACTGGAGGAATCCGATAAGCTCTCAAGATCTTTTTCACAGATGTCCAGCAATGCCCCCACTCCCCCCAGCACCTTCATATTGAGAACGCAACGATGCATCTACTCGCGATGGTGCATCGAATCTCTTCGTATATGTTGCATCTAGTGGGGTCGCCTTCACTCCTGTGACCGCTGGAGCTGCTACCGTTATCCGCAAAGTGAAAGAAAACCAAAACAATATTTCATTGAATCCTGACCCCCAAATCGTTCGACCCCTAGCTGACGAGAAGGTTCACTCTGCATTTAACCTGTGGGTAAACGCAAAAAAATTGTTACCTGCCATGCCGGGCGTGACGGCAGCACTCGTGTTGTTGTTTTTTTGGCTCCAAACTCACCGTGATTGAGTCAGAATAATTTAAACCAAAACAGCTGCCTCGGACAGGACCTCACGAAATCCAGTGTGGCGCTTGCTCAATCGGACGTTGACCAAGTCAGGCCCCCCGCGTACCCTCGCTTCGTTTTGCTTACGTTTTGTCGTCGTCGCATTTGTGTGATTGTCGCCGTTGTTCTGTTCTCCGTACGGCAGCCTGCTTGCACGCCGTTTGCTTGCGAGTGTAACACGTGGCCTTCGTGTACGCAACCCTGCTTGAACAAAAAAGAAATGGCAACCCCACAAACTGAAATCCACCCCCCCCCCTTTTTTTTAATGCGGAGAGGTACGTGTGGTCGTATGTCCCAAGCTCTCTGTCACGAGTTTCAAATCATTGTTTAAAGACACTGTCAAATCGCATTTCCCGAGCTCTGCAGTTGAGCGGCGTGCAAAGCGTTGTTATCATCTGCGTCGAAATGAGTCTTCATAGAACTACGCTATCGGGGGTTTTGTCAAGAGAATGGGAATACTGGAGCACCCCCCCTGCATCAACTTGGTGTATCAAGGACGAACTGAATTGGAGGAAATTTTAATTCCCGCACTTCCGTGAATCGACGGTGCTTTCGATAACAAAAACGCAACAGTGGCTTGTCGCTTTATTGGGGTTGCCTCTGTCTTCAAGCCAGAGCCATTCAGGAGCGTGAGCACTTGCAGTTCGGTGCCTACACATTAAGCAGTGCCCCTCCTTAAGCTCGTTCCGCTCTTAAATCCTCACCTCTTCTCTATTGCCCATTCTTTTCCTCTTCCCTCCCCTACCCATCCCTTCCGTAACTCCTACGTACCCTCTATCGTACCCTCTAACGTGGCCACTCATTCCATCCATTGCACGCCCCTGTCATGTAAATCATTCTTACTTATATTGTGTTTTTATTATTATGTTAAGCGCCTTGAACAAAGGCTCTCCGTAAATCTAAAAGAAGATAAGATCAGAGTCAGTGGCAACTAAAAGCGATTGCTCTCCAGTGCAAAATTTCCTGCTTTCCTGCCAGCGGAAGAGCCCGGTGTGTGGCGTTTGTTATTTGCGAGCGTGCCTCCTCGCCCTGACTACGCACGGCAACAACGATTGATTTCCATCTGATAGGAACAGCAGTGATGTCTGTGCGTGCGTGTGTACAAGTGGGGAGCGGTAGTGTAGCGGTTGGCGTGCTGCGCTATAAACCCGGCGACCCGGGTTCGATTCCCGCTCACGGCAAACACCAGTGACGATTATCTGAACCGGTCCTGGGCCTCCCCTAGGTCGACTCGGCCTCAAATGAGTGCCTGGTGCGATGTGTAAAAACATTTCCACTGGAGAGACAAAGGGGGTCGGGCGTGGTGCTGGCCACCCACACCCTCGTGTACCTTTCAGCCTTCATAGGTGCTCGCTAACAGCACTTGCCCATACAGTCTGTTAAGGCTACACGGGGGGTCTTTGTCTTTGTGTAATAAGTTGTGGGTAGCGATGGCGCAGCGTTTAGCGCGCTGTGCTACCAACCCTGGCGTCCAGCGTTCGATTCCCGTGGCGGCCTTGATCGGTGCTTGCCAACAGAACTTGCCCCAAAACCTTGTTAAGGTTATACTGGGGGGGGATCTTTGTATTAAGGGTACACAATTAGAGTACTTGCATTCGGGGTGTCACAAAGACCAGCGGTGAAGCGGTTAACACACCGTGTTATGTAACCCGTGGCCCAAGTTTGATTCCTGGCCTCGGCTAACATCAGTGGCGAGTAATATCTGAACCGGTTCCCAGGCCTCTCCATTATTAGCTCGGCCTTACATTATTACCGGCTGCGGTGTGTGATCCGCAGCGCTGGGGAGAGAAAAGCATCGGGGTGTTGTCATGGCCACAGTTACCATGCCCCGTCCATCATGCCAACATTATTTAGTTGCTCACTAACAACGCTTACTCCTACGGAAAGTTAGGGGCAAGCGTTGTCAACAGGCCATCTTTGTCTTCGTACGTCTGCTGTGTTTCCACATGTGTGTCGATGTCTGAGATTCACATTTCACAGGCAGAACTCTTGAACGCATCCTCGTTTACGAATCTGTCAAACGTAATATATTTTTTGTGCTCATATAATGTTTGTCCCACTTTTGTTCGTCACGCAGCTTATTGCTGCTTGATATGTTGTGATCACGTTTGCCTGGCCTCCTAATCGTTGCACGTGATCATTGTACAAATCTCGTTTTTTTTTGCTGTCGTTGAAAACAACCGAACCCTGGCGTCCCTGTGTCGTTTCTGTTGTCGTCGCTGAATTGACATTAATGTCACAGTGAAATCGACATTTAACCAAATTGGCGATGCAATAAATGAAATTCATGACTGCGAGGGGTCGAGATTTCCGACGTCAACAACTGTGCCGTTGGTAACGCTGCTGGAATATAAAAAAAACACCCTTTGAGATGTGCGATGTTGTTAAATTTACTTGAACCTCAACCAACAATGACCTTCTCATGCCTTAAGGAAGTACTTGAAGGTGGCATAATTTCTGACGTTGAAATCAGTATTCCGTACTCAGAAATACAATGGAGAAATCCTCCAACTCAACATGTCACCGTTATTCGTCATCTTTGCCATCATGTCTATCCGTGACCTAGATATGTAAAAAATTAAGCAGGTAACAATTCCTTGATTAAAACGGATTTCTACAATCACGATAAATGCATACGAATGTAAATGTAATGATTAATTTACAATTCATGCAAATTATATGTAACTGACAGAACGGTCTAGAAAACAATAGAAACTAGTCCCATTAAAAACAAGGTCCTGAATCGCAGCGATTAGTGGAATTTCCAGGGAGGCGAGTTGTGAGATGGATGCTAAAGACGATCGATCAGGATGCTACTTGGATGGAAACGCAGACACACAGTAAGCCAAACGGAGTCAGTCGGGCGTGTTCATGATGTGTCACTGGCCTTGCTTGAACCAATTCACGTCGTCAACACGTCCACCGAAGTCAAATAATTACGCACATTAGAATTCGCGATTTGAGATCACGCCTTGATTTTCACGAGCCACTTATCGTCACCCTTGGCGATGGAGAAACCTCCCGGTGGCCGCTGCGTTTCCACGAACAAAAACAAAATAAAATTGGCACGTTTGTTTCGGGTCACAACTTGATTTGTTTGGCTGTTGTCGGACGGTGGAGGGTTTTCGCTCTTAATCGGCATTATACGTACGCCATCTAACTCAATGGAAACATTTGAATCGCAATGTATACGAATTGGAAATATGATTCGTAGTGGATTCTTGGGTTAGGCCACGTAAGGATCTGGCCAGTTTGTTCCCTTGTTGCCGAACAAATGAAATAGTCGTGCGGTGTACAAGCGTTTAACACGCCAATTTTTATTGTTTCAGCTCTCACCGGTAAGCCAATGGACAAGTCTCACAACCAACATGTGGAAATGACGTACGACGTTTTTGCTTGAAACCGCGCCAAGAATCTTCAGGAAAGTCCGGAATAAAATCAGAATGGAAATGGTCGCTTTTTTCACGCACGATTCAATGCTCTTATCCCGATTCCTAAAAACCGATATTTATCGATGAATTATTGACGCCCCACCGAAGGCGACGTGAGTGTTTATCGAGGCGTGTGGCAACTTGGCGCAGACCGACGTGGTCACCTCTCGAGGTGTTGCTGTGTGGCGTAACAGCCATAGTAATGAAAACACTTTGCGCTCTGTTTTCTCCACGGAAAGAGGCCAGCTGTAGCAAGTGATGCAGAGCGAGTAACATTTACCCTGACACCAGAATTCAATTCACCATTACGTCAGCGGTGGCGTCAACGCTCTCTCCGTTTAGGCGACCTTTTCGTTTTCCACTCTCATAGGTGTTAGGTAACGCATGCAATTGGAGGAATCCATCAATGGGAGAACATAAACGCAGCATGATGATGATGATGCTCATGATGAATCATTTTAATGATGATGATTGACCAGTGCTGGGCTCCGACCAGACCAGGAATCTGAATGTGCTGCATGCGCCCGTCTGCTGGAGAATGCGATGATGATGGACTGAAGCGACTGCCAGTGTATTCCAGTTACTCGGTCAATCCACCTGTGAATCATTTTAACACACGCACAGGCTTTCGCGACCAATATTATGATTCACAGTTGTTTCTTAGGTCGGATCATACGAGTAAAAAATGTGTGTCGTACACCCTCCTCCACCCGGCACAACCAATTGATAAGAGTTGTCATGTGATGAACAAAACGTACCAATTTATCGCTGCCTCAGCATCGTATTGCTCTTCAACATTGCTGAAGCAGTCATTAATTGGGCCCATGTGTTCACGTGACAGCGGTATTTGATTCGGGTGGGGGGGGGGGGCTGTGTCGGGTGGAGGAGGATGTACATCACAATTTACTCTACTCATGCCGGCAATCTGATCTCACAATCAGTTGCGAACCGCCTCTGTGCGTATTATAACTCAAAACAAATTTTTTTTTTTTAACACCTTGGTGACATTTGTGTAAGCCGCCTACGATACGGAGCCGTTCGTCGCAAACTGCCAATCCCCCAACGCAGCACGGTTGTGTCGCCACAAATCTGACCGTCGCATTCAAAGCCTCATCGACGTTCAACTCCGCTCGCCAATCGCGTTGTTCTTCCGCAACCGTCCTGTGCACGCGCTACCGCCATCGGCATGCCACCGATTGCATTCCGCCCTGTTGGAGAAATCCAGAGCTTGTTGGCCTTTTTTGCGTGGTTGCTCCGTTTCATTTTGTCCTTTCTTATGGTTTTTCTTTTCTTTCAGGGTCCTATTAAAAGAAACTCGTCGAGTAAGTAATGTTTATTTAAAGATTTACGACCACTTACCTGCACTTACCTGATCGTGGTGTCAGTGTGGTTGATGGAGGTGTTTACATATTTCATGGATAATACCCGCATTCCTCTTTGGGTCACTAGAGGAGCACGAAGCCCAGCTGAGTTATATTTAGTTGGAAAGCCTTTTGACGGGGGGGGAGGGGGGGGCTTAAAGTCGTCTGGTTATAGGTGGCCCGGTGGCTCGGAGGTCATAGCGCTCAGCTGACACCACAATGACACCTGGGTTCGAATCCTGGTTTGAGCCACCTTTGATAAAAAAAAAACTGATTTTCAAACGTAGTCAGTTGATCGATCCCGACCCTATCAAGGAATGACCGCGCAAAATAACAAAATAACCCGTGACATTAAATATTGATTCTGCGCTGAATGTGGCTCAATTGCAGCTCTCAGACTAAAACGCTTTGGGGTTCAGCTCTCGTGCATCCAAATGTTACTCAGTAACTGGGCGGGGTGGAGTGGGGTTGGAGGTCGCTTTGAATAGCTCTCAGGAGTAGTTATGAGATACCTCCTGCATCATTCCCACCGGCTTGTCACGGTGGTGAATTTCCGAGCGAAATCGACTTTGCCTGCTGTGAGGCGAGCGACGATGGCCGTCGCCGCGGTCGTGATTTTTTTTTTCTCCTCCGGTCTCTCCTCCGATAGCGGACGAGCTGTCAAGGCCGCGGCGTTCCACCCCGACACCCGACAACATCAGGTGAGAGACCCGACCACCGACACCACCGATCCACCGGCTCCCCACAGCCGGGTTCCTTCAAACGTCATCGCTGTTGTTAAGTTGCTTTACCCAGGGACAGCCTCGACGAGTAGTGAGCGCTCACAGGAGGGGGGGGGGGGGGGGGGGGGCGACGGTTGCTGTGCATTTAGCACTTAAGTAATTTACGAGTACATTTTCACGTCTTGGCAAGAATAGTTTACCGTTCGCGTGTCTCTCGTCAAGCCACTTAGTTGTGGGTGTAAGAATCAGACATTTAAAAAAATGTATATGCCATGTATATTTTTTATGCTATGTTTACAAGTCTTTGTCAGCCCATTCTACATACAAAGTGCTTCTGCCTTTAAACTGCAATCCTTAATAAAAAAAGGCATCACACGAGAGACCCGAAGCCTCATTCGGCTTTGCCCTCCACCACCCCGGTCACTGTTGACCTCATCGACTTGACCCACGCACAACAGCCCGCACCTGCGATCAGCACGTAGGTTGCCTACGTACGGTGCGATAGAAGTTCAACGTACAAACATACACAGCTTGTGAGTGACTTTTGTCCTCATAACACTCTGCTGCCCTCTAAGGGTGGTGTTATGGAAACATCTTTATCTTCATGTTAACGTATTCGGTCGTACATACCTCATCATCCATACAATGGGGGTCCCTGGTTACTTGCTGCTCTTGTTGGGTTCTCATCATCATCATCACCATTCGTGATCTATCCCAGTGGTTCCCAACCTTTCTGGACCCGTTGACGCTCGTTACATTTTCGTTGACCACCATGCATTAAAAAAACATGGAGTTAAAAAAAAATGAAATCTGCGAAAGTTCCGCAGATTTCTTCCCACGGCCTTGCGGGCCACCAACGGCCATAGAACACAGCTCAGGAACTGCTGATCTGGCCAACGAAATGACCTCAAATCATTTCGGGCCATTGAATCGTGTCGTGGGTGAATCGAATCGAGCCTATGTACCCGTCAGGTTACCGCTATCGACGAGAGCCCGCCGACGACACTCAAGACACGTTGGAAGTTGTCGATGGTGATGTCTTGTCGACGGTGATGTGTTGTCGACGGTGATGTGTTGTTGACGGTGATGTGTTGTCGACGGCGATGTGTTGTCGACGGTGATGTGTCCTGCCTGTGTTGGTCCCCAGCGGCAACTCCAAGACCAACAGCGATCTGTTGGCCGCCCTGGACCCTCTGTACGGTGGCGCTGGCGAGTCAGACCCCACCTCTCCCGGTGAGTAGCGCCCGCCCACACACAGACGAGGACGGTGACCGCCCGTGCAGCCTTTGCCAACCGATTTGGGGGGCGGCTGCTGTTGGCAAACGCCTCTGTTCCAGGCTCGCATGGCAAACCGTGGAGGGTGATGCGGTTAGCACCACGCACAGCCGGCTGTGCACTCCTATTGCTGATGCGTGCGCGCTGTGTCCTAGTACTCGTTTAAGGCCGAGTTGAACTAGGGGAGGAACAAGGATGTATTCGGATGCGCAACTGATGATTTGGAGCTGTGAAATAGCAGCAGTGTGTTTGTGGCTTTTTGCGCAGGTTCAAATGCAGCGGCCGCCCTGGTTAATACTGCAGGTGTATTAACCATTTAAAAAAATGTAGCATCAGCTTCACAGTGGATGTTTAATGGTCCCGTGACGTGTCTTGCGAGAGTAGTGTGGGCCGGCGTCATGCTGCAAATTTACCGAAATTGCAAATGACTCGATGGGAGTTACACATAGCAAGTGTCCGCCCCGGCTGGCAGACCACAGACACAGAGCTTGGGTAATCGTTGACACCGGTTTATGGCTGCCTTCAGCTGGCCTGGTATTTCCTGTCCGAATGTGCCAGATAGACCCAATCGCCCCCTTTAGTTAGGAACCATTTAAGGCAGAGTTGACCTCGGGGAGGCCCAGGACTGGTTTAGATTAAAAGGATTTACTCTTCCTACAAAAGAAACTTCCAACTATTTTATCATAGTCGGATCACCGGCCGTCATCTTCAGTGCACTTCGTCCGAGCGGTCAATCGGTTTCTTGATCCCAGCACAACGACGTGAGCTACCGCAAACGCAGTGGACGCGGCTGCGTTACCTCCCCCCCTCTTCCCCCAATCGGCCAACACGAGGAGCATCTCCACTTTTGCTCGTTATCGTTTTGGGACTTCCAGCCGGCCACGGACATTGCAATCCGCTCCCACTATCCCCGCCGAAGACGTACGCGGAGCGCCCGCTTTGCCCGTCGCCTTTTCGTCTCCGCAAATCCTCGGTGACGACGTGCCGATGCACTTTCGACTCGGGTTTTCTCCCCCGCCCGCCCACCCACCGACTACCGCGAAGCCGACAGCGCCTCAACAATGGTGACATCGTACTCGCACCACCAAGTGGAGGTCCAGCCTGAACACGGACTTCAGCGTCCAGCTGCCAGCGAAGATGAATCCCCATTGATGTGAACGTTTCACGTTGGCGGATCCTTCGACCGCTTGAATTTAACAAGCGCTCGGATGCCCCCTTGACCGAAGCTTTGTCGCCGGTGCTTGACGGCCCTATTTTTACTCCCAGCAAACGTTGACTTCTGGTGTTCACCGGACAATTACCAAGCCACTGGGGACAAGCACAGGTGACGTATTTGAACGTGTACTTAAAAAGTCAACACGGAGTGGGGAGGAGGGGGTGGTGATAGAACGTGTGTGGGAGGACCACGGTAGACACCGGTGGTAGAGATGGAGGAGGGCAGGAAGGCGCTTCCCTTTGCTCTGCGCTGTTTTGCTTCTCAGCTGCCCGTACTGCCAGTCGCAGTTCCGCTTGACTCTGCTGCACTAACGATCAGGTCGACTGTCGCTGCCTCACTTTCTTTGCTTACTAATGCCTTACCAAAGCAGGGCTCCTCGCCTTGTCTAACACAGCGATCGGTTGAACAATCAAATGCTTGGGCAACTGCTCTCTCGTACGTCTTGTGTGTACATTTGCTGCTGCTGCCTTACTGATGTCTGGATGTTTTATATTCATGTCTCTTCCATCACCGCCTTTTGCATTTCCACCCCTCATCCGAACGCTCGCCCTGTTGTGTCTCTTGTGGTTTGTGTCTCTGTCCTTCTTTCCTCACCTTCTCCCCTGCATCGGTGTCCTCTCCCCTCCTTCCGTTTCCATTCCACGTCCGCCCCTCCTACACCTCCTCCGCCACCGCCCTCCTCCACCACCCTCCCACCCACCGCCCTCTCCGACCCCCGACCCCCGCCACGGACCGAAGCCTCGCGGAGGCACAAAGGCAGTAGGGGTCGCGGCGCCACGGCCTCCGCCCCGCCGCTCACCGCCTCCTCGGCGCACACGTCCCCCGGCGGCGGCGGCGAACGCAGCACGCCTCGCTCCCCGGGCACGCGCAGCGAAAACGGCAGCGCGACCGCCGGCGCCGCCGCCGCCGAACCAGCGCAGCAGCACGACCACTGGGTGTCGTTCGACGACGACGACGGCGGCGGGGGAGGCGGCAACGTGGTTACCGGCGTGGCACCGCCGCCACCCCGCCCGACCGTCAGAGTCTACCTGGAGCGCCGGGGATCGCTGCCGAGCTCGCTGGCCCCGGAGGAGGCCGCGGGCGGCCGCGCCGAGACGTCCCCGTCGCCGCCCGAGAGCCCGTCGCCGCGCCGCACGTCGCTGCCCGTGCACTGGGACTCGGACTCGCTCGCCGTCTACTGCTTCGGGCCGCTCTCCGAGCCCGGCTCGCCCGTCGGCGAAGCGGCCCGCTGCTCCACGCCGCCCGTGAGCCCCCCGCCGCCTCCGCCGCTGCCCCCCCGACCTCCCGCGCAGCGGCTGACGCCGACGCCGCCCTCGGCGGGGGCGCCGCCGTCCCCGCCGTCCCCGCCGTCCCCGCCCGTCGCCCCCGAGGAGGAGCCGGCGCCGCGGCCGCCGACGCCGCCGCCCTCCAGTCCCCCGCCGCTCCCGGCGACGAAGTCTTCGCCGGCGTCGCCGGCCGCTTGCGGGAGACGCTGCGCCACGCCGTCGGGCGGGACGCCGCCCCCGCTGCCCAGCACGGGCCCGCCCAGGACCCCGCCGCCGAGGCCGCCGTCGTCGTCCTCGGGGCAGCCCGGCACGCCGCCGCTACCGTCCTCGCCCGGGGCGGAGAAACTGCGGGCGATGACGCAGCTGCCGCAGGCGCGGCAGGAGACGCCGCCAGAGGAACTCGGGGGCGGCTCTGAACTAGCGGCGACAGAATTGTCCGACGTTGAGAGCGCCCTGTTGGATGGAGCGGTGGAGGAGGGGTTACTCGACGGCGTTCAGCAGGCTGCGGGCACGGCCGGTGGGCGCGGGGCGGGCGACGCCGGTACGTGAGTGAGTGCTGCAGCGCCGTGGATCCGGTGCTGCAGCACCGTGGATTCGGTGCTGACGGAGCTGTCCACCGTGGGGGACGTCAATGGTTCACAACCTGAAGGGGGGTCGCTGTCCAGGGTGCTGGACGTTCAGGGTTCACAACCTGAAGGGGGTCACTGTCCAGGGTGCTGGACGGCCATGGCCATGGGTGATGAGTTGGGGTAACGCTTTTTGTATTTGAGCTGTAGTGGGGTTGTCCGAGTAACAACGTTCAACATCACGTGTGTTGCGGTCAGAGGCCTGTCGTGTGTTGGGTGGATCTTTGCAACGCAAGACCGTTAGCGATAGCGACGACTTTGGGCGGGGAGCTTCATCCAGCAGTGGATGGGACTCGTCCCATGACGTTAATGATTGACGTGACAATGGCAACGCGTTTAAAAATATGCTTCTCCAGATGTCCGCCTGCGCTCGATGGGTGCGTGCGTGTGTGGGTTCACTTGTGCCCCACGGGCTTTCTGGCAGATGGTGTCATCGGACAAGATTCTCGCTTGTTTACGAGTCCCGTGCTCCTTCCATGCTGTGCCCAACGGGAGCTTTGACCAAAGGCCGCACCGCAAAACATCCGGCAGCCAACAGCTGCCAAATGGCAAATTCGCCGCTTGTTAAAAGAATAACAATAATATTTATTCAACAAATAATACACAGCCATATATGGTGCTTGATTCACCGTACTTTACCTCGCTGATTAATGCACGCTCAGATGTCACTCGCTGCTGAAGTTAGCCAGGCCATGAAGAAAGTTAGCGAAAATGTGTTTATTGTCGCTTGTGGAGCTTCAAACGTATATGGGACACCCTTGGACACTTGAGCGAGGTACACTTTTACAATCTACGAATATAACCGCAGTTTGTTGTTTTCTCGCGTGCAATCGCAATTACTTCTCGTAATGTTTTATATCGCCCACTGTGGCGTACGGATCGGGGGCATGGCACATCGACAAAGAAAATTTGAACAAAAGCTGAAAAGCGAGGAATGCATGTATCAGAGAACACACGGAAGTCATAGGCATCGAATCCACCGCTTTAAGGAAACGCATGTGGACTTTGGAGCGGTGATGGCCGATGGTCGAGACTAACCACTGATTGGCAGCCAAAGGAGGGAACGCCCAACGTGGAGCCGGAGCGATGTGATCGGACCGTTGTGCGGGAGCTCGAATGCATCGTTGCTTCGCAAGACCGTGAGAGTCTTTGTCCATCGGTGGATAGACCACGGCCGATGAGCATCGAAGCTCATTCCAATTCAGAACGAACCGGGGACCTGGTAACCGTCGTCATGCAGAGTTAAGTCTGCTTACGTTGCCTTCGTTTACGTGCGGCGTTTCTTTTGTTTCAGGGCCCTCTCCAGTTCACACCACCAAGAGCCCGCAGACGACGAACGGCGGAGGGGGGGGAGGGGGAGGGGGAGGGGGAGGAGGAGGAGGGGGGGGTACATCGCTCATCCCACCGCCCCGGCCCCCGTCACGGCCCAAACTCCTGCCCAGCAAACTCGGGGGCATCGAGGAGAACGTAAGGGCGGCGGACGTTTGGGGCGGCACGGGGGGGGGGGGGGGGGGGGGGGGGGGGGGGGGGGGTTGTCAGTGGCCGTGACGCTGACCCAGAAGCGTCAAGTTCCTGCATTAGTTTCAGCCGCTCACCTCTGCGATCGAACCAGGTTCTATGGTACCGCAAGTCAACGGTCTCATCCTCTCTCACCCCGCCCCCCCCCACCCATCAACTACCCCCCCCCCCCCCGCTCAATCGCCCCTCGTCCTCACCCATCCACCCCCTTCCCTTCCCCCCCCCCCCCCTTCCCCGTCCCCGTGCAGCCGCGAGCGTTCAGCCCCCCGCTGGCCCCGCTGGCGCGCGCCGAGAGCTCCTCCTCCATGTCGTCCTCCGCGTCCATGAGCGCCGCCACGACGCCCACATACGGTGAGGTGGGGGGGGGGCCTCAGCCTGGGGAGCGGAGATTGTTCATGTCGTGCATTGCATGGGGTCGTGGTGTTGTACGGGGTCATAGTGTTGTACGGGGGTTGTGGTGTTGTACGGGGGTCGTGGTTGTGTTGTACAGGGTCGTAGTGTTGTATGGGGTGGTGGTGTTGTACAGGGTCGTGGTGTTGTACGGGGTCATAGTGTTGTACGGGGGTTGTGGTGTTGTACGGGGGTCGTGGTTGTGTTGTACAGGGTCGTAGTGTTGTACGGGGTCGTGGTGTTGTACAGGGTCGTGGTGTTGTACAGGGTCGTGGTGTTGTACGGGGTCATAGTGTTGTACGGGGGTCGTGGTGATGTACAGGGTCGTGGTGTTGTACGGGGTCGTGGTGTTGTACGGGGTGGTGGTGTTGTACAGGGTCGTGGTGTTGTACGGGGTCGTGGTGTTGTACAGGGGTCGTGGTGTTGTACGGGGTCGTAGTGTTGTACAGGGGTCGTGGTGTTGTACAGGGGTCGTGGTGTTGTACAGGGTCGTAGTGTTGTACAGGGTCGTGGTGTTGTACAGGGTCGTAGTGTTGTACAGGGTCGTGGTGTTGTACGGGGTCATAGTGTTGTACGGGGGTTGTGGTGTTGTACGGGGGTCGTGGTTGTGTTGTACAGGGTCGTAGTGTTGTATGGGGTGGTGGTGTTGTACAGGGTCGTGGTGTTGTACGGGGTCATAGTGTTGTACGGGGGTTGTGGTGTTGTACGGGGGTCGTGGTTGTGTTGTACAGGGTCGTAGTGTTGTACGGGGTCGTGGTGTTGTACAGGGTCGTGGTGTTGTACAGGGTCGTGGTGTTGTACGGGGTCATAGTGTTGTACGGGGGTCGTGGTGATGTACAGGGTCGTGGTGTTGTACGGGGTCGTGGTGTTGTACGGGGTGGTGGTGTTGTACAGTGTCGTGGTGTTGTACGGGGTCGTGGTGTTGTACAGGGGTCGTGGTGTTGTACGGGGTCGTAGTGTTGTAAAGGGGTCGTGGTGTTGTACAGGGGTCGTGGTGTTGTACAGGGTCGTAGTGTTGTACAGGGTCGTGGTGTTGTACAGGGTCGTAGTGTTGTACAGGGTCGTGGTGTTGTACGGGGTCATAGTGTTGTACGGGGGTTGTGGTGTTGTACGGGGGTCGTGGTTGTGTTGTACAGGGTCGTAGTGTTGTATGGGGTGGTGGTGTTGTACAGGGTCGTGGTGTTGTACGGGGTCATAGTGTTGTACGGGGGTTGTGGTGTTGTACGGGGGTCGTGGTTGTGTTGTACAGGGTCGTAGTGTTGTACGGGGTCGTGGTGTTGTACAGGGTCGTGGTGTTGTACAGGGTCGTGGTGTTGTACGGGGTCATAGTGTTGTACGGGGGTCGTGGTGATGTACAGGGTCGTGGTGTTGTACGGGGTCGTGGTGTTGTACGGGGTGGTGGTGTTGTACAGGGTCGTGGTGTTGTACGGGGTCGTGGTGTTGTACAGGGGTCGTGGTGTTGTACGGGGTCGTAGTGTTGTACAGGGGTCGTGGTGTTGTACAGGGGTCGTGGTGTTGTACAGGGTCGTAGTGTTGTACAGGGTCGTGGTGTTGTACAGGGTCGTAGTGTTGTACAGGGTCGTGGTGTTGTACGGGGTCGTGGTGTTGTACAGGGTCGTGGTGTTGTACGGGGTCGTGGTGTTGTACGGGGTCGTGGTGTTGTACAGGGTCGTGGTGCTGTACAGGGTCGTGGTGTTGTACAGGGTCGTGGTGTTGTACAGGGTCGTGGTGTTGTACAGGGGTCGTGGTGCTGTACAGGGGTCGTAGTGTTGTACGGGGTTGTTGTCGCATCGTGAAGGGAATCCTCGTGTCTCGTTACTGCAGAGCATGGTGAGCTTGTTCCTTACAGCGTCATCGCATCTCACGGGGTCATCATGGAATCATTTCTCGAATCGATTCGTAATCTGCAATTGTGATAATTCGACTCGGCAGTGGGGTGAATTGTCACGTGCTTGGCGAACACATTTGCACATCACCATCGTCACCGTTGCCGTGTCACCGTGCGCAAGCATTCCGCGTGGCGTTATTTCACTCATTTTTTGCGTTTTTGCATCGTACGGATTTGTTGCTCTGCCGCGTGCACGCACGCACGCACACACAGCGCGATCATAACTTTCCTGGCGGCTGTCGTTTCTGCGCTACCGTGCGGCACGCCGCAAGCCCGTGACGGCCGTTCCCATTGTGACGTTTGATGTTGCTGTGCGGTGCAGTGTGTAGCTTTTTCAACGGTGTCGCTGCAGTGCGGCGCGGTGAGTAGCATTGCTCACGAGTGTTGTGCAGCTGTGCAGCGTGCGGTGTCGCTAAGCGTGTCGCCGCTGTCCGTGTGCGCGTGCCTGCGCGGTGTGGCGGGTAGCGCCGATAATAGCCGCTGCTGTGTTTTCTCTACCGGTGGTATTGCTGCTCTGCAGAGTAACTAATGTGTACAATCTAGATTTGACTAATGTGTAGATTAGATTTAACTAATGTGTGCAATCTCCAGTGGTTCGTCAAATCCAGTCCTTGCGTCGACCCCCTCGCGTTCGCACGAGGAGGGTGTTCCGTGTGCAGTGGCTGAATTTGTTTTGTGTGAGGAACAGGTAATATTTGCAATCGTAAACAGGCAGCCAAGAACGTGGGGGATCGCAAGGACTGGAGTTGAAATGCTGGGCACAGATTAACTACAGCTGCTGCTTTGATTCACAGCCTGCTGCTTTGTAAAAACGATTGGCCCTTGGTTTAGTTTTCTCGGGATCATCTGGTTTCCCACCCCTCACCACCACATATATATAAAACATTTAATTGGCCAAACATCTCAATGTGGACCAGCCCCCCGAAAAACCTGTCTCTCAAGATTTATTCTGAAGATTTGAAGTCAAATTATCGTTCATTGCACGGCTTTTGTGCTGTGCACGTGGCAGCTGAGAGCCGATGCTTAAGCTCCGATAGGCCCCCCCCCCCCGCAACCCCGGTCCGCCCCTTTATATATTTTAAACCAGGGCATTGGCTGCCTCCCAATTGAACAGTCTATTACTAATAAACAGACAGCCGATAGACCAGTGGTGGGCAACCTGCAGCTCCTCGTGGTGGCCTGCTCTGAGTGTATCCGGGGTGATGCGCGTGGGGGTCATGATTAGTGCACGAGCACGATTGAGGACCGCTCTTGTGGCCCGCTAACTCGTCTGGGGGGTGCCCATCACTGCTCTCGGCTGTGGAGACGCGTGGACTGCATTGCAATACCACCACGACTGCCGTGCCCCCCCCCCCTCCCACAACCACCACCTCGCCCCCCACCTCGTCTCACGCTGCCCCGAGGCAATCTCACACGCCGCTCCCCCCCCTCCACTAGATATTCCTGTTTGTGCTGAACTTGAGTCATTACTTTCTAATTTGGCAAATGTAGTTGTGCGGTGAGAGCGTGCTGTTATTGGGCCGGTGGTACAGCGGCCGTGCCGTTGGGTGATGGTGATCGCCTCAGTGTGGAGTGCGTTGTTGTCGTGTCGTGTGTCTCCTGTTTATTCTTAAGCTTTTGCTCATGCATACGTCCAGCTTAAGTCGGTGTCTTGTTTCAGATAGGTAAGATGATTCTTCAGTAGCTGTCCTTAGGTATACATTCTTGCCAGTTCTGTCGCTCCGACAGATTTCTCTCGGTTGTTTAGCACACCCGTACATTCCTTTTTTTTGCTCGTGTTTATCTTGTACGCTGCTTTTGAATAATGTTATTGTTTGGTTCTTAAATCTTTCCCTCGAGTTAATTCCTCTTGGGTTGTTAAGATGGCTGTGGAGAGGCCTTCATCTAGCAGCGCATAGGATAGTTTATGGCTGATGATGGTAGTGAGAATGATGATGATAATGGTAGGTTAGCTAGGCACGGTAACGATAGACCTCTCCCCAGACTTATTCGATGGGTCATCACAATGCAAGATTGTAGTGGACTCGACTTATTTATTTTGTCTCATTGTTACCACCTCGTTGGCACCGACATGGGCACCGGATCTGTGAAAAAGTGCTTTACAACTTATCGGATTCCCCCAGTTAGATCAATATTCTGATTCTGATCTCCGCGAGGCTGGCCACTTAGGAGAAAGACTTTGGTAGGGATACGGTTAGGACAGATCTCGGGGGAGGCGAGGTAGGGGGGGTGGGGGTCTCGTGTCTACTACGCATGCAAGCAGCCGCTGCAGGATATGGCCGGGGTTAGGGAGCGCGTGGCGCCACGCGGTGGCATTCGGCGTGACTCGTCATCGGCGTTGTAATTGCAGTGGGAGCGTCGCGGGGTCCCAGCCCGCTCACGCTGAGCGCTCACGACTCGGTGCCCATCGCCGCCGCCTTCACGGAGTCCATCAGCGCCTACTTCAAGGGCGCCGACCACAACAAGTGAGTGTGGCGTCCGTGGCCGGCACGCCTACGGTGGTGCTGCGGTAGCGCTACGCAGCAGGGGATCTAGAGAAGGGCGCGTGTGAGTGTGTGGTATGTGAGTGTGTGGTATGTGAGTGTGCGCGTCTGTCAATGCGTCCATGTGGGGGGCGGAAGTGTAGCGGTTACCGTGATGTCCTACGGTATCGGTGACCCGAGTTCGACTCCCACTAATGGCCAACACCAGTTATGATTATTTGAACGACTCCCCTGGGTCGAATCAGCCTCAAATGAGTACGTGGTGCGGTGTGTAAACATCTACCCTGGGGAGATGAAGGTAGCTGGGCGTAGTTTAGGCCACCCACCCCCTCTTGTGCAAACATCACTTTCCCCAAAAGGTATCTCAGCGCTTGTGAGATGCATTTTTCATTTACGACGCTATATAAAACTAATCAATATTTTTACTTATTAGATTAGTGTTCAAATACTCTATGGGTTCTTTCGGTAAAGTCACGTAGGTTAGAAAAATAATAGATCACGACGTTTCGATCGCAACACAAGCAATCGTCATCAGGTGGGACAACCGCAGCAAGACAAAACTGCTGAAGTCGGCGAGAGATCTGCCGTGGCACGGGGTTATATAGTGTAGTGTGTAGTGTATAGTGTGTAGTGTATAGTATAGTGTAGTGTATAGTGTAGTGTATAGTATAGTGTAGTGTATAGTGTAGTGTATAGTGTAGTGTATAGTGTAGTGTATACTAGGCCTCGGCAGTAGGGGGGGAGGGGGGAGAGAGGGGGGGGAGGAGGAGGGGCAGAAAGTGAACCCCTCGGCAGCACCCGGGTCACTGGAGTAGAGATCAGAGAGAGATGCAGAGAGAGAGAGACACACAGAGAGTCGAAAATAACAGCTGACATAGACAGGTAGGATGGAAGCATCACAGTCAGTTAAGACTTTACCTGGTTAATAACGTCCTTCCAATGATTGCTCAGTTTGTACCCATCTTCTCAGTTGAAGTTGTGTCTGTGTGTATATATCTGGATGGCTTCATGAACAAATCTCTGATAATAGCCGGTGGGTTTGCAGAGTACCTTCGTCTTGGAAAAGTAAATTTCGTGTGAGCCCACAGCGTTAAAACAATGATCAGCAACGGCAGAGGTCTTGGTCCAACCGTGTTTCAGATCTGCCTTGTGTTTGCAAGCGCGGTCCGAGACATGTCGTTTCGTTTCCCCAATGTAACTGCTGCCGTAGCCACAACTAATGTTCAAATGTATCTGTATTTGCATGTCACAATTTGGATCAAATTTAGCAGAAAAGACTAAAACTAGATTTCCTAAAAGTCCCGCTTAAAATTCCACTTTCATCCTAATAGGGATCGCGACTCGCTCGCATCGCCATTTGACGTGTTAATGATTCTGGATTTACGATTCGGTAATTTTCTTGAACACCGCGGTGAAATGTCGGCGTTCGCCGCGCGCGTGTCCCCACGTGCGTGCCTGCGCTCGTGTGCAGCTGCATCGTGAAGGTGGTGGGCGAGATGACGGTGTCGTTCCCGGCGGGCGTGGCGCGCGTCTTCGGGGGCAGCACCTCCCCGCCCGTGCTCAGCTTCCGCCTGCGGCACGCTCGCCGCCTCGAAGCCGTGAGGCCCAACGCCTCGCTGCTCTTCAGGTGAGCGCCGCCGGTGGAGGGTGGAGGGGGGGGGGTGGACGGTGGAGGGTGGGGGGGGGGGTGATCGGGACGGTGCCACTGCTCCAGATGAAGCTGTGGGATTTCTCCCACATTCCCAACATTCCTCCCAAAGAATATTTTTGCCAGACGTCCCAATGCAACGGCCATCCTGAAAAATGCTCGGAAACACATTCCTGCGGAAGGAGCTGGTAGGAACGTGGGGTTGCTCGGTCAATGGCCAGGGTCAACGGCGGCGTGGTGTATTCCGAAAATATGCCCGACTGTGAGGGCGGGCACAAGCCGACGTGAGTAGGTTAAACGTTGAGTTTTATAAGGGCACCACGGGGTGACCAGCCCCTCCCCACCCCTCCCACCCCCCACCCAGCCCCTCCCCAACCAGCCCTTCCCCATTCTCCCCTCCCTACCCAGCCCCTCCCTCCCCACCCAGCCACTCCCTGCACGACGGACGGACGGACGGACACAATAATCCCCTGTGGGCTGGTGGAACCAGTGGGTTCCTACCAGTATATCGCCGTCTATGTCTTTGTTGGGGGAAACAAAGGACTCGTGTTTATTATCTGACCAGGTGGTGCAGTGGTCAGGGTGCCAGTGAGTTCAAGTCTCGGTCGCTGTTCATCTTTTTGGGGTTGATGTGAAATAGTCAACAGCGGTTGTCAGCGGGTAGACTCGCACCTTCCAGAGCAATGTGGAATTTTCCCACCTCTTCAGGGCTGTAAACAATAAACAGCAACTCATTGGCATGGAAAGTAATATTAATGAATTCGCCTTTGAACTGATAAAAAATAATTCTTGCCCTCTACCATCCGTGCCGCACATCAGCCGCCGAGATTCACAAACCCCCCCCCGGTCCGCGTTTTATTCCTCTCCGCAGTGACCCCTCCCAGAGTGACCCCAACTGCAAGGACTTCTGGGTGAACATGGCGGCTCTGACGACGCACCTCAAGAAGCTGTCGGAGCAGAACCCCACGGCGACGTACTACAACGTGGACGTGCTACGATACGAGGTCTCGTCCGCCACCCGGCACCTCGCCAGGTCTAACCCTCGCCTGCCGTGTCCGGGTCGAGGTTAAGAGGTCGTCACGGCCAGTGCCATCATAGCCACCAAAGACTAAGACGAAGATCCCCCCCGCCCCGCCCCGGATAGCCTGCAGCAGACTGTTGGGGCAAGCGCTATAGCGAGTACCGATGAACGCTTCCACGGCACACGAGGTGGTGGGTGGCCCCTTGTGGTGATGTTTGCACATTGCACAAGGTAAACATTTAAGGCTGAGCCGACCGAACGGAGACCCAGGACCAGTTGAAATATTCGCCACCATCATTGGCCGTGAGTGGGTATCGAGCTCGGTTCGCCGGGTTCGTAGCGCACTGCACTAGCCGCTACACCACCGCTTCCCACTAAGCCGCCACCACCGCCACGCTTCATCATCACTTCCTTCAATCTCCTCGATCCCGGGGGTTGTTTTGCGAGGTTTCATTTGTATTATTACTGCTACTACTACTACAGGATGTCATCTCATTGTTTGGCGGCTGGTGCAGCACCGCAAGCAGTGGGGACTGACCTTCCAGTATCCATGCAGCTATTGGCCTCAAGGGGGCTCAGCTGCCGGTAGTGGTTGTGCTGCTTTCGCTGTCACGGCTGTCATCTCTGCGCGTGTAGTAGCCGCTCGCTGAACTAAAGGGAAACCGTAGCGTTGATAGCCAACAAACATAGACAGCCTACCCCCAACTGTTCTCATCGCTTTAACCTACACTTAGCTGTACCCATAGCTACTGCCTACCCCTAGCTGTACCCGTAGCAGTGCCCATATATACAGTCCACCCCTAGTTGTACCCATAGCTGTAGCCCACCCCTAGTTGTACCAATAGCTACAGCACACCCCTAGCTGTACCAATAGCTGCAGCTTACCCCTAGCTGTACCAATAGCTGCAGCACACTTCTAGCTGTACCCATAGCTACAGCACACGCCTAGCTGTACCCATAGCTACAGCCCACCCCTAGCTGTACCCATAGCTACAGCACACTCCTAGCTGTACCCATAGCAATACCCATTACTCCAGGCTACCTCCAGCTGCACCCACAGCATTATCCGTATCTATTGCCTACCTCGAGCGCCAGCCATAGCAGTGACCATAGCTAGCGCCCACCCCTAGCAGTACCCGTAGCTGTAACACCGCCTGCGCTCTTGTGCCCATCGCGCCCCTCCTCCCGGCCCGGCGTGTCCAGGTGAGTGTGTCGGGCGGTGCCCAGTCGGTGCCGCTGAGCCTGGTGGCGCGCTGGAAGTGTGAGCCGACGGCCACCGAGGTGCAGGTCGACTACCGCTTCAACAGCGCTGCCATGGCCGCGCCGGTGCCGCTCACCAGCGTGCAGGTCATCATCCCCGTGGACGGCGGCGTGCTCGGCATGCAGGCCCAGCCGCCCGCCATCTGGTGGGTTCCCGCCTTGCCTTGCCCTGCCATGCCCTGCTGTGACTGGTCTGACCCTGCCCTGCCCTGCCCTGTTGTGACCAGTCTGACCCTGCCCTGCCCTGCCTTGCCCTGCTGTGACAAGTCTGACTCTGCCCTGCCATGCCTTGCCATCTTCCCATTGTCTTGACTGTCTCACTCTTTCTGGCCTACCTTGCCCGTGCCCATCCTCTGCCTTGCCATGCCCCATGTCTCCTTGCCCTTACTCCTTCTCCTGTCTCTCCTAGCCCCGCCATGCCCTGTCATCTCTCTTAGCCCCGCCATGCCCTGCCATCTCTCCTAGCCCCACCATACCCTGCCATCTCTCCTAGCCCCACCATGCCCTGTCATCTCTCCTAGCCTTGCCATGCCTTCTCACTCCATGCTTTTCTGTGTCTACTCTCATTCTCTTCCTTCCTGCTGTGCCTCTCCCCATCTCGTCCCTCTTATCACCTTGCATTCTCAGAATCAGAATGTGTTTATTCTTGAGGAATCCGATGAGCTCTTAAGCTCTTTTTCGTCTCCCCCACCCCATCTCTTTCTGCCTTTCCCTCCCTCCCCGTTACCAATCCGTCTGCCGTGGGCACCAGCATTCCTAGCCGTACCCTCTTCCCCCCGTCCATTATTAAAGTAACCTTCGTGGCAAAGTTATTATACCAATCCCTGCAGTCACGAAAGCTTTAAATCGAAATTTAACAATCCAAATGTTACCTGTGAATAGCCTAACACCTAAGCAACAACATGTCCTTAAATGACTTACTCACGTGTTTGTATTACCTTGTCCTCTGTGTCAACAATTATTTTTTATAACCCCTCCCCCCCCCCCCCCCTCTTTCTCTTTTTGCTATTTCTATTGTGACATTGCTGCAGGAACGCTGAGCAAAGCAGGGCACTTTGGAAAATACCAGAAATATCTGACAAGTCAGATGGGGCGGGTGAGTGAGATGCTATATTTGTGAACAGCACTTGCTCCTACAGTCTGTTAAGACTATACGGAGGATCTTTGTCTGCATGGCGTGTTAATCTGTGTGTGTGTAGTTGTGTGTGTGTGTGTATCTGTGTGTTTGTGTGTGTAGTTGTGTGTGTGAATATATATGGCTTTGTGGGTGTGGATTGTAGCGATTAGCGTCCTGTGCTACAAACCCGGTGACCCGAGTTCGATTCCTGCTTACGGCCAACACAAGTGATGGTTATCTGAACCAGTCCTGGGCCTCCCCTAGGTTGACTCAGCCTCTAAAGAGTACCTAGTGCGGTGTGTAAACATCGCCACTAAGGAGACAAATGCAGCCAAGTGTGGTACTGGCCACCCACTCCCTCCCTCATGTGCCGTTTCCACCTTCATAGCTCCTAACAGCACTTGCCCCAGTCTGTTAATTCCCATACAGGGCATCTTTGTATGTGTGTGTGTGTTTGTTTGTGGGCAATGGTGGCACTGTGGGTAGCGTGTTGCCCAACAAACCTGGTGACCCCGAGTTGGATTGCCGACCATGGCTAACATCAGTGGCGAATACCTAAAGCGGTCCTGGGAGGGATGGTTAAGATCCAGAAAAAATAGGGCAAATACTATAAACATTACAATTACACCATGGGAACCTCATTTGCCAGTAAAAATATGATAATTGGTTTTTTACCCTTCTATCTGGCAACAAAACTGACACCTTTTTACAAGGAGTCATGTTTGCATAGACCGCAATACCTGCAGTCATAATACAAACAAAAGACGTAACTCTGCGCCTTTTGGCGTCATCTGGTCCAACCCATGTGAGACTAGGCTCTAAGGAAAGCTGTCTCTGGTGTGGACCAATCAACTTCAAGGACAGTGCACATTATCAGAGTTACGTCTTTTGTTTGTATTATGACTGCAGGTATTGCGGTCTATGCAAACATGACTCCTTGTAAAAAGGTGTCAGTTTTGTTGCCAGATAGAAGGGTAAAAAACCAATTATAACAATACAATTATTATAGGATTAGACCAGCCTTGCGTGCATTTATCCTCCGAAAAAGTGATGAGTTCGTGGTGGCGAGTGAGGTTCTGGGGTCCTCAAAAGGGCATTGGTCATATTCCGCACTACCACCATAACCATTTGGGGGGGGCAGATCATAAAGACGCGATAATAAAAGCAACAGTGATATGAAGATAAGAGCTGGTCTCTTGATTGCGTCTGTTTTCCAGAGTTTAAACTCGTTGGTTGCATAGTTGTGTCATCGCGTGATTGTGTGGTGGTTGCACGATGGCGGTTGTTTCCTCTAGGCTGTGTGGTTGCGTTGTTGCGTGATCTTTGTGCTGCTGTGTGGTTGCGTGGCTTGATTGTGAGGCTGTCTGGTTTGCGTTATATGATTCTGCGGTTCTGTGATTGTCCTGTTGCCTGGTTAAGTGGTTCTCTCTCGTCGTTGTGTGGTTGTGTGATCGCGTGATTGTGTAGTGGTTGCACGATGGCGGTTGTTTCCTCTAGGCTGTGTGGTTGCGTTGTTGCGTGATCTTTGTGCTGCTGTGTGGTTGCGTTGCTTGATTGTGAGGCTGTCTGGTTTGCGTTATATGATTCTGCGGTTCTGTGATTGTCCTGTTGCCTGGTTAAGTGGTTCTCTCTCGTTGTCGTGTGGTTGTGTGATTGCGTGGCTGCCCCCGTGCGCGCGTGCGTAGGCTGCGGCTCACTGCGAGCACACCTGGACGTGTCGGCGGGACCCAGCTCCCCGTCCACGCTCGCCGTGCAGTTTGGCTGCGAGGGAGCTTCCCTCTCGGGCCTGCAGCTCGAACTCGTGGGCCCCGGCTACCGCCTCTCGCTGCTCAAGAAGAGGATGACCACTGGTCAGGAGCACACTCGCTCGCACACTCGCGTGCGCTCACCCGTTTGCTGATTTATTCATTTGCTCACTCTTTCACTCGTACGGTCACTCATTGGTTATGTTACATTTACACTCGATGACTCTTCATTTCACTCGCTCACCACGAAATTCACCCTCTCACCTCTACTTCGCTCCCTCGTTTGTTCACTTGCTCATTTACTTTACCCACTTATTGCTTCACTTACGCACCCACCTGCCCACCTGCCCACCCAACTTACCCACCCGTTCGCTCGCCTGCTCGTCGACCCACTATCTCACTGTCGTCTCTCCATCTCTACCTCTGGCGCGCGTGTCCATATACGCACACGCACACACACGCTCACTCCGCCGCGCGTGCTCACCAAAGCGTACGCCATCAATGCCAACCTAAGCCGTGTCCCGCAGGTAAGTACTTGGTGGACTGCTGACCCACCGACAGCGCCGCCCCTCCTGCGCCAGCCGGACCTCCCTCCCCGCACGCGTCGCTCGCCTCCGCCGCCACTAACGGTTGTGGCGCGCCCGTGAGCGTTGGCACTGCGGTCGACGCTGCCGAGGGCTGGAGCCAGGAGGGATCGTCAGTCGAGGCCACAGAGCCGGCGAGCGTGGAGGCCGGAAGATTCTCGCGAATCTCCCGACGCGAGCCGCAAGCCTCTTCCAGCCTCGCCGGTGCCGGGTGCTCCCGACTGGATTGGCGTCCGTCTGTCCGTCCGTGCGTCTGCGAGTCCGCTGGTTTCGGCCGAACGCACGGTGGTGATGGAGGCTGCCCCCCCCCCACTCCCTGACCCTAAATGTTGCCAGCTCCTGCAGGTGCCCCCCGACCCCCCACTCCACACCATCACCCGCAGCACCCCCCCCCCCAAGGTGCCACCACAGCTCCCAACGTCGCCAGTTCTCTCCCACGTCGCCGGTACACGCGGCGTGGCCGTTGTGTGTCTCTACGGACCTGCCTGCCGGTCCTCCCATGGACAAGCCATTAAGCAAGAACTTTGCACTTTACATTGTATACCCTTGTTAAGTTTTTTTGTTTCGTTATAGGGGGGAGGAATTACTTCATGGTGTTAACGTTGGTATCGTTGTTATTGTAATGTTTTATATATACAGTGTTGTTTCTTTTCTCCTCTGGCCCGGCTTCCCCTCGCCGTCGAGTGCGCGCGGTGACTGTGCGATGCCACGTGCGTGAGACACGCGCACGGCTGGCACACCGGCTGTGTTTGGCGTCGGCTACTGCCGCCATTGTATTCTCGTCGACAGCGGCGGGGGGGGGGGGCAGTGCCATCGTTGCGCAACGCCGCTGCCCCCCTGCCCATCGTTCGATGCTGCGATCACTAATCGTCCCAGTGGCGTCGATATAAATATTTACACACACATGCAGACACGCATACGTGGGTTTATGTTGATTCTCTCTCTCTCTCTTCAAGATCCTTGATTTTGTCTTCGTTCTGGTTGTTGTTGTTGTTGTAATTTTGATTCGTTTGCTACTGTCTGCTTGGCAGGGTTCGCGTGCCTCTGGGCGCGTGTCTTTGTGTGTGCGTGCGTCTTTGTGTGCGTGTGCGTCTTTGTGTGTGTGTGCGTCTTTGTGTGTGTGTGCGTGCGTCTTTGTGCGTGTGTGCGTCTTTGTGTGTGTGTGCGTGCGTCTTTGTCCGTGTGTGTGCGTGTACATGCGTGTGTGTCCGTGTGTGTCCGTGTGCATGCGTGCGTGTGTACGTGCGTGTGTACGTGTGTGTGTACGTGTGTGCGTGTACATGCGTGTGTGTACGTGTGTGCGTGTACATGCGTGTGTGTACGTGCGTGTGTGTACGTGTGTGCGTGTACGTGCGTGTGTGTACGTGTGTGCGTGTACATGCGTGTGTGTACGTGTGTGCGTGTACATGCGCGTGTGTGCGTGTGTGCGTGTACATGCGCGTGTGTGAGTGTGTGCGTGTACATGCGCGCGTGCACATATGCGCGCGTGTGTGTGACCCTGCAATACCGCGACGCATCTGCCAGAGGCTCTAAGCTGCTCCTCTGGAGGGGATGATGATGATGATGTTTGACTGCTGCTGCTGCTGTGCGTGTGTGTGCTCGTGTCTAGTCGAGAACGCTGTAGGTTTCTCACTCATTTTAAATGTTAGACCTGCCTTACGTGGTGGCGAGTTAAAACAAAACAAAAAAAAGACACGATATATTCTAATGTAAATAGTCGGTGATTTGTTCCTGAGCACCTATATGATAATGATGATGATGGTAGTCGTAATACAGACAACAGAAATTGTACATTTATAGAGATTCAGTCACTCTTAAGAATATTTTTTTTTAATGTGTTGCACTTGTAATAAAATTTAAGAAAATGTATATTCTAGAGCGGGGGAGGGACGGATCGTGTGCTGTACGTACACCGAGGGGGGTTTTCTGTTCGGTAACAAAACAAAAAAAATTAACAAATCGGAAAAATTACAAATTCCCGTTGGGTTATAAAAATGAAATAACGGTGATTTTTTTATTTACCTTTTGTTTCTTCTTAACTTCCGCCTCTGTCATGTCCTCTCTGTGCGGTGCTAACACACCGAGAGATGCCGTGTATATACCGCCAACGTAACCGTCCATGTAGAAGTTACCGTTACCGCTTTCACTTGTATATGCCAAACAGATCCGTTCGCATATAAAGACATCTATTGATGGACGCACGTTTGTCTCGTCTGATGGGAGGGCGCGCACACACACGCGCATGCACGCGTACGCACCCCAACGGAGGGAGCACATCTCACCTTGAGGACTGTTGCCTGAAACGTCAGTTGTTGCACATCTCGCTGTCTGAGCCAAGTTGAAATATCCAACAGTGCCGAGCAGTGAGTGGCAGAGTTTGCAATAGATTTTATGGAACCTGGTTAAAGCACTTAAGAGACCAGGACAAGCCTCTTTTGCAAGCGTAACCTGGGTCACTCTGTCGAGGCGAAAGGGCCACTCACGGATAAGGACCAGCGTGTCTCTGGAGTCGAGCTTCTCGGATCTTTCCCGAACCAGCCCAGTGAGGTGAGGTCAACACAACCCAACCTCGAGTGCCATGGCGTGGGGAAAGGTCTTCATCCAGCAGTGGATTGACACGGAGTAGCTTGACACGAAGTAACTTGGGGGGGGTGGGGGGGGAGAAGAGATGATGCGAGGGAGCTCCGAAAACCAGCAATGGAGGGCACTATTAATGGGACAGGAGTGTTAAAAACAACATTCTTAATCGTCTTGGTTCTTTCGGTAAAGTCACGTAGAATGGAAATAATAAAATAATAAAAATAAAACATATAATTACATACTATAATATATTCTTTTATTATTTCCATTCTACGTGACTTTACCGAAAGAACCAAGAAGATGAATCCCTGCAGTCACGAAAGCTTTAAATCGACATTCTTAATGTCATCATGACCCTTGACTTAGAACATTTCATGGAATCGAGCAAGTTTGTCGGGGTTTGCAAAGTGCGATGTTGGGAACGAGTTCCCAAAGTCGAGCGGTGCGAGGCCAACGACAAGAAGTGGAATTTTGTTTGCGAAGACGGCGCGGACGAGAGGGAGCCATCGGCCTGGCAGAGCGAGTCCCTGGCATGGGCGGGAGACTCGAGGGGTGAGTTCATGGCATCAACGTCCGTGGTGGTAGCAGTCGAGGACTATGACAAGGAGCCGACGGGATATTGGGATAGTATATTGATGATATTGATGTAGTTTATGTTTTAGTTTTTACGTGGTGGTTTGGCTGCTGCAGCTTCTTCCTATTAAAATGCCTTCCCTTTATTACTGCTAACCCTACTTCCTCCCTTTGTTGCTGCTAATCCTACATAATGCACGGGCATAATATGACTTTGAGACCCCCCCCCCCCCCCACCTACGCATTCCACAAGTAGTCACTAATCCCATATCTGCATTTTCCATAAATATGCTAAATTCCTCTGTTGATATGCAAATTCCTTTGTCAAGGCACCCTTCCTCTAACCCAGCTTAAATAAACGCTGCCAAGCATGGTGGTGCTCATTCAGACGCTGTCTTTCCGATAGACCTGTTCTTCACCTGAGGACGGCTGCTTGCGTTGTGGCCGAAACGTGGTGAGAATTGTATTTTATTGTTTTATTTTTATTATTTTATTATTTCCCTTCTACGTGACTTTACCGAAAGAACCAAGAAGATGAATCCCTGCAGTCACGAAAGCTTTAAATCGAAATTTGGGACCAAGAGAGTTGATCGGTGAGTGTTCGTGTGGCTGTGCTTCAGGTGGCATCGGTAGTTATGCTTTTGTCCCCAATGAAGTGCAATAGGCATCAAGATCAATACATTTCCATTCGGAACTCTGCAGCTGTGGGTGCATCAACCTGTCTCGGAGAACGTCCCCTGGAAGATGTCACGCAACTACGACTGAGCACGCTTTCAATTCGACACTTCATCCCACGCCAAGGCCATAGAAAAAGTGTCCCTTGCGTCAAACTGAAGTTGACTATCGGAGCTGGAATTCATCCACATTTTTAGTGAAAAGCAAATTTATTTAAATTGTTTTTTTTCGTGTGGTCTTTGGTGAATGTGCTTAGACCGTTAATTTTTAACTTGATATTTTACCAGGTAAGGCCCACTGAGCGATGTAGCTCTTTTTCAGAAGTGATAGCTCAACGTAGTAGATTATCAATGTGGACGTTTATAGCAGCCAAATACTCTAAAACGATGGGCGGCTGAGGTCTGGATTCAAACCCAGAATCGGCCACCGATTCTGCCAGTAAAACAATATTTTGTTGTTGTAATTTTCCATAACAAAGCTACAGCAGAACCAGTTTTCAGTTAAAAAATGAGAATCAATATTTATACTGGAGGAATCCGATGAGCTGTGAAGCACTTTCTCACAGATGTCCAGTAGGGAGCGAGTAAGAACGTTCCAACAAACAGTACAACACAAACACTATACCGGTGCAAAGTACACAAAAAAGGCAAAACAATAACCCATAAACATGCAAATACAACTAAACCATCCGCATCTTAACCGGCAAAGTCCAACTGAGGTATTCACTTATTTTTCAGAAGCAACCTGGCCGCAAATGATATCTCAACAAAATGGCTTATCGCGTGGAAATTTATAGCGGCAAAAGTGTGCCCACACGACTCCGTTTGCGGAATTTGCCCGGTAAACGCTGCCGTGGGAATTCAGGTGGAGTCTGCTACGGTGCCCGGTTCATGAACCTGAGCGAGATTCTTTTAAAGTTGTTGCAGGGGCCGTGGCGTGATTAGTATCGGCGAGGCAACTCCCACACACGCCAGAATCTCTTTTTTATCAGTAACAACCGTGACATGACAGTTTTACGTTAACAAGAGTCGTGAACATAAAGTCAGGTTTGTTCGCTTATCTGGGTTTTGTTTTATTACCACAGTTCTCAAATGTCGATGCAACACTCGTACGACCAAGCGCTCTTGAGAATGTACACCATTAATTCATTAATTATGGGTTGTTGTGGAGCATTTTGGGCCACAAAGGTAAATTGTCAAGTCCGTTTCACAACTAAACGGATCCCACAGCGATTGGGTTGCTCGGCGTTGGCATCGTTGAGATTCTGGGGTCGAATCCAGGCAAATTCCGCCTGTGGTTACATCGAGTTCTCAGTGGTGAGCAGACAGGATGTTCAATGTCGTCGTGTTTTCACGTGGAGTGGTAGCTCCTGCAATCTCTCATTTACTTGATACAGCTGTCGTGGCTGTGACGGTTCCACCTGAAGACAGAAGCTTGTGTTGCCTCCGAAACGTCGTGATTTTTTTATTTTTTTTATTTTACTTTTTATTAATTTTAATGTTTTACCTACGTGACTTTACCGGAAAAAACCTAAGAATATGAATCCTTGCAGTCACGAAAGCTTCAAATCTAGAATTAACACCTTGTGTGGCAAGGCGAGTGGGATAGTGCTGCCCCCCGACTAAGGAAGGCACGTGTGTAGGTGATATCAAGTGACCTTGGAGCTAGCTCTGTGATGTCCGCTTCAGTGGGCTCTTCTCTAACACAAGGCGATGGACTGCTCTGCGAAAAATCCAAATGGATTTTTCATCTCAGGACATGAAGCTCATTGCACAATCAGCGGGGATTTTTGAGATAAAACATATACCAAAGACAAAAAATTATCTTGATATCTCTAAGCCTATTGGGCCCTCTGATCCAATGCTTCCCAGTAGCTAAACGCCCTGGACTGGTTTTTACTTCTCTCGGTCTCGTCAGTTGACCTTGTGACCCGTAAACACACAAACAGCCAGCCTGTGCCAAAGCGACGAAAGGGCATTCATTGGTGGCAGGTGACATCACGCACTGCACTGTGGGTCACGCGGTCCACCGTATGACGCGGAGTGCCCTGTCTCCTCTGACGTGGACCGCGGAGTTGACACTCGTGTTAATTGCTCCGCTCCTTGGGTCTTGCGGTGACGTTCAAGTACGTGGCGATCAACGCCTCCGGTGAAAATGCCGAGGGGGGAAAGGGCCCGATCTGAATTAGGGCCATTACCCAAAACGTCAGCCCGTTGTGTTCTGGTTTACAACGCAGTGGTTTTTTGTTGTTGCTCCTAACGTGACCATTTCAACTTGGTTCAGCTCCGCCCGTTTTTTTTTTTACAAAACGGTGTTGTTTCGATTTAAAGCTTTCGTGACTGCAGGGATTCATCTTGGTTCTTTCGGTAAAGTCACGTAGAAGGAAAATAATAAAAATAAGACATAATAAAATCATTCTCACGACGTTTCGGCCACAACGCAAGCAGCCGTCTTCAGGTGGAGAACAGGTCTGTCAAGTAGACAGAGTCTACTTGCCGAAACGTCGTGAGAATTATTTTATTATGTTTTATTTTTATTATTTTCCTTCTACGTGATTTTACCGAAAGAACCAAGAAGATGAACGGTGTTGTGGCGTTCATAATTCGCGTTAATTAAAACCACCGCTCCCAAAGCGCTTCGTAGCTGCCGCTCTCTCCGCTGCGGCTTTCGGTCGGTGCCGCGCGCTGCCCCCGGGCACGGCGTCCGAGGGCCTCGCTCCACGTGTCGCGAGCGGGAGGGAGGGGTGGGGTAGAGCAGCTCCTTGACGGGCACTCCGTTCGCTTCCGAACGAAGATCGTCAACACGCGGTTGCAGCCAGGACACCCTGGGAGCCCAGACACCGCGCGAGCGGAGATGAAGATTACTTTGTGCGCGTGCACGTCTGTGCATGTTTCCATCATCGGGCCATGCTCAATCCACTGCTAGATGAACCTCCACCTCACCTCCCCCCCACTGTCACGGCCCTGAGGTGTAACGTAACGCTCCGTTTGAACCACCTAGCCCCGCAAAGCTGATTCCATTTGAGAATATTTATTTCGATCGCAGGAGTAATCCGATGAGCGATGAAGCTTTTGTCTTTCTCACAGATATCCACTAGGGGCGGGTCACAACATCGGGCGGTGTTCTCGCCTTTGGCTGCCACTCCTGTATTAGTCTCGACCTACAGCGATCATCCCTTGCAGCGACGTGTCCTGCCCATACAAAGTGCACAAGCGGCAGCCTGTGAAAATATATATACTAAATTTCGATTTAAAGCTTTCGTGACTGCAGAGATTCATCTTCTTGGTTCTTTCGGTAAAGTCACGTAGAAGGGATGTAATAAAATAATAAAAATAAAACATAATAAAACAATTTTTATTATTTTATTATTTCCATTCTACGTGACTTTACCGAAATAACCAAGATGATGAATATTTATACTGTACTGTTCGTATTTCCATTGCGCCATGACGTGCGTAACTTCCATTAACAGCTCGTTGCCTTGTTTTCGACCCGGCACGAGATTGATTAACGTCCTGCCCCTAATAAAGAGCAGGTGAGAGTCCATCGAGATTCATGATGATTTGGGCTTTGAACTTTGAACGCAATGGGCCGAGATTTTTGTTGAGCACACGGCCGCCACCTCGGAAAGGGAATAAAACCCCGGAACATCTCTTGGGAAGACGAATATCGGCAGGGCACCGGGAGAGGAGGGGGCGTACGAGGTGCTGAGTTACGGTATTACGCGACGAACAAAATAGAATAAAGTCGACACGTGCGTCGATAACAACACCGTGACATTGAAGGTCAAACAGTGTCTCATAGGCGACGTTTTGGGCAACGGCCCTTCTTCATGGCACATCATGTTTTGTGAAGAAAGGGCCATTGCCTGAAACGTCGCCTATTATCTATCTATCATGTTTAAGGCCACGCCGCTAACGACGAACGTGCTGAGTGTGTTGTCGTTAAGGGTGCTTGTTCACCACTGCCTAACGTAGCGGTGCCAGCGAATCTGACAACAAACAACAACAACAAAACCCGCGACTTTTAACATCGGGTTAGATCGCGTAAATATATAAATGTGTCGTTAAACCCGCCACCACCCGACACAGCCAACTAGTAAGGCTTGTCACGTAAACAGAACGTGGCCAATTCGTTACGAGCACAGCACACCGGTTGTGTGTTGGAGAGCAAAGCGACGATACTTACAATCTGAGTACGACGTTTCGCCAGTAGTTACTGGCGAAACCTTCTGTTTACGTGACAAACCTTACTAATTGTCTGTGTTGGGTGGTGGTGGGTTTTGACGACACATTCATATATTTACTCGATCTAACACAACACAACTGTATTACGGACGTTTTCCCCATGTTAGCCAATGGGCATCCGTGTGCCCCATGTTGTTAACCTTTGGGCATTCTGTATCTTACTCTTAGGTTTTTTCGGTAAAGTCACGTAGGTAAAATTATTTTTATAAAATAAAAAATAATAAATTATTATTGTTTTATTTTATTGTATTTTTATTATTAAAAAAAATTTACCTACGAGACTTCACCGAAAAAAAACCTAAGAGTATGAATCCTTGCAGTCACCAAAGCTTCAAATCTAGAATTCTGCATCTTATCTTAGTAGAAACACACCTGGGCCGTGCCCTGCACTGCCTGACGCGGTTCGTGTAGGAGGGGAGCGGTGGTGTAGTGGTTAGCGCACTGTACGGTCCGAGTTGGATTCCCGCTCACAGCCAACACACCAGTGACGATTATCTGAACCGGTTCTGTGCCTCACCGAGGTCGACTCAGCCTCAAATGAGTACCTGGAGCGGTGTGCGAACATCGCCACTAGGGAGACAAAGGCGGCCCGGCGTGGTGTTAGCCACCCACCCCCTCCTCGTGTGCCGTGCCGGCCTTCATAGGCGCTCGCTTAACAGCACTTGCTCTAGCAGTCTATTAGAGGCTATACGGGGGAGCTTTGTCTTTGCCACACGCGTCAAGCTCCGTTAATCATTACACGTGACCTTAAACATTTTATTTGGTGATGACTCAGCCCATCATCGCTCGCTCCTTTCGGGGGCGGGGGGGGGTCGATAAAACAGGGCACCAATTTGTGGTGACGTCAACCGCGGACCGTACTTATCGAAAGACTCGCACCCCCCCCCACCTCCCCCGCCATGTGAATGTGGAATGTCCGCTGCGGTCTGCGAACAGATGAGCAACAGCAATCCACTTCGGACCCTCGTTTGAGCAAAGTAAATCCGCTCTTTCAGTTGTTGACTTTTCAATCGGGCCCAGCCCGTGCCTGCTGGTGAATTGTCAAATTGCGCGCGTGACTTTGTGTGACATCCACTCCGTTTGTTGCCCCGCGCGGAGTCCTGAGTTATTATTTAGCGCTAACTGCTCTTGCTCCTCATTCCACATCCCTCCCTCCCACCAAATCACCTCCCCAACTTTGCTGCTGGAACGCCGCCACGAACCGCACAGCACACACAGAGGCACCGCTCGCGTCGCGCGCGTGAACCCGCGACCGCCCTTGTGATCGCAGCAGCGGAGTGGGTTCAAAGTTTACTGTGTACACAAAGATCCCCCGTATAGCCTTAACAGACTGTAGGGGCAAGTGCTGTTAGCGAGCACTGTGTACGCGCACACACACAGGCGCGCGGACCCACACACACGCGCGCGCGTCCTCACACACGCGCGCGTACCACGACAGCTGTAGGGAGTAACAGCGTAGCGAACAAGCGAACGAACGCCAGATCTTTGCGTGTTATCGTTAACGGGTTGCATAGCAGCGTGTGCCAGAATGTCGTGCAGTGTCGGGTAAATTGAGGGAGGAAGTGGCCACGCACCTGCCGCTCCCCCCGACTGAAGGTTTTCATGCGCGTGCGTGCGTGCGCGCGCGCGTGATGCGTTAAAACCAGATCGACTCAGTCGCGAAATATCTACAAGTGATCCTTGTGCCTGCGTTTGGATGAGTCAACCCTGGAATGAGCTCCTGGGTGCGCGCCGCGTAAAACTCCGGGGCCTGGCGCGGTGCTGCCAAAAAACACCTTCATCATAGGTGCTCGCAAACAGGTGGGCGTTGAGAGATAGGGACGCGGCGAGAGGGGGGGGGGGGGGAGACGACAGAGAGAGAGAGAGGTGAGGGACAGAGAAGACCTCGATTGAAAACTGCGCGGCTGCTCAGCCGATTGACCCACCGGGCGGATCGGGCCAGCGGACAAAATCTAAATCGGCCGCGCAGCAGCGAGAAGGGAGGGGGGGGGGGGCCCCAGCCATGCTGCGTCGTAGCGGCCTAACGACCCCCGTCAACGACCGGGCCGGAGTGACCCTCTCGTTCTCCGGGTTCTTCCTCGTGTTCGCCGGGCTCACGCTCACGTGCATGGGATGGCTGTACTACACGCGCCACTCGCATAGCTTCGACTGGTCACAAGTGCTGGGACCCATCCTGATGGGCCTCGGCGTGGTCTTCTTGCTGCTGGCCGCGTGGCGACTCAGGACTCTGATGTGAGTGTTGCGTGCCCCAGCTGATGAGTTCATTGTCATCTTCTTGGTTCTTTCGGTAAAGTCACGTATAATGGAAATAATGAAATAATAAAAATTTTACATAATAAAATAATTCTCACGACGTTTCGGCCACAACGCAAGCAGCCGTCCTCAGGTGAAGAACAGGTCTGTCGAAAAGTCATTCAGACTCTGTCTTCTCGACAGACCTGGTCTTCACCTGAGGACGGCTGCTTGCGTTGTGGCCGAAACGTCGTGAGAATTATTTTATCATGTTTTATTTTTATTATTTTATTATTTCCCTTCTACGTGACTTTACCGAAAGAACCAAGAAGATGAATCCCTGCAGTCACGAAAGCTTTAATCGAAATTCATTGTCATTGTTGTTACGATTGTGATGGCAAGCCTCGCGGAGCCTCATGACTTGTTTTTTTTAACGAGAGCCCTGGCCACGTTTTCACGATTTCCGCACGTGTTTCTCCATTTTTTGAGTGATTTGCGGGCTTATTTTTTTTCTTCATTTATTTAAAATTGGCAAGCCGGCGCACAATGGGGGCCTACTCTTGCGAACGACGCCACTGGATCTTTAACGTCCACTGCGAGTGAAGCAGGCGGTGCGTATTTTTTTTCGTTTACAGTTTATACACCGGCAGTGTTAACCAGGGCGGCCACTGAAATTCGAACTGTGAACCTCTGCAACGAGCGAGTCAAACGCAGCGCTACCGATCGGGCCGTGTCACTGCCTCAGTAATGTCATCTTCATGATTTAATCTTCTTCTTGCGTTCGCAACAGCGTAGAGAGAGAGAGATGGCCCATGGCTCGTATATGTCAATTTCCCATCCCAATGTATGTATGTTGAACTTCTTTCGCACCGTACATAGCCAACCGTGCTAATCGGAGGAGCAGCTGTCATCTCAGCAGGCTGTGATCGCTTCGCGTGAAATCAATGAGGTCGTCCACCACGGAGATGGAGCAGTTGATAGAGTACGTGCACAGGAGCTCGATGGCTGTGAGATGGCCATGGTTTTAGGAAGACTTAACTCGTTTATGTATTTGTCCCGGAAGCCACACTGAGTTGTCGGAGGGTCCTGCATCGGGCTTTCATTTTAAGATAGTTTCAGCCAATTAATGACGAGTTGTGATTATCGTACACGAGAAAACGCACGCGCGCGAGGGGGCAACACTCAATCCCCGTACAGATGGCGATTAGTCCACTTGCTGTACTGCCCTCCCCGACGCCCACGTATAGAAGGGATTTTCCCAAGATCCAACAACTCTCGCTGCTGCCCCCACAGCGCCGCCGGGTTACAGGCGGCAGGCCACGTGCAGCGCAGCCGCCTTGACTTGTTGAACGTCTCCCACGACGCTCAGATGCTGCCGCTCTAGAGGGGAGCAGGAGGAGGAAGATACGGAGATGCGACGCCGCTTCGAGGCGTTCGGCATTCTGGTGGCGAGCATCCAGGCCCCGGGAAATCCCACGGCTTCCTCCGCGAGCGACCACGGCTTCCTCCCGCCGCCCCCCTACGACCCCGAGTCGGCACCCCCAGCCTACAGCGGCGGTGGAGGAGGAGGCGGCTACGTGAACCGGGCGTGCGAGGGGGAGATGGAGGAGCAGGCGGTGCCCGGAGCGGGAGCCGTGGCGGCGATGGGGATCGAAACTGGGAGGCAAAGGTGAGGAGTTGCTCGTTTGTGCAGCCGTTGGTGGTGACCCATGACCCATGGTGATCAATGGTGAAGATGTCAATGGTGGACACATTCATAGATTGGTGATGACTTTAATGATGTTGATGATCAAGTTAATGATACAAATGATGACACCAGTCAAACTAATGAGGTCAACCATCGTGTTCGATGATGATATTGATTACGCAAATGGTGGCAACAATAATGGACCGTGGACATATCGATGATGACGATGATGTTGATTATGTGGACGATGATGATGTTGATGATGATGACGATGATGATGTGGACGATGATGTTAATGATGATGATGACAAATGATGATGTTGATGACGATGATGTTGATGATGATGTTGATGATGACGATGATGACGATGATGATGTGGACGACGATGTTGATGACGGCGATGATGAGACCCATCCATCTCTCCACCCCTCCCAAAGGAGCGCCGAACTCTCTCCTCGCCCCTCCTCCGACGTCCCTTGGAAGGAATCCACATTCCCAGCGATGCCTCCGTCATACGAGGAAGCCATCGCAGATGCTGCCCTTTGCCCGCTTCCCTCGCTCCCTGCCCTGCCCTCTGCGGCTGCCCTGCCCTCGCAGCCCGGTCCCGAGAACGACATCACGTCAAACGCCCTCTCGACGTCGCCTGCACGGACGGACGCAGCGAAACTCGACAGCTAGGCGCGACACGAGAGCCCACGAGCCACGGTGAATTGTATTTCGTCGGAGGAGGTTGAATAATGGACTTCAGAGGTGGCCCTGGAAGCTTAAGAGGTCAGAGCGCTGAGTGGGCTCTGCCGAGAGCCAAGGCTCGAGCCGGGGTCCAGCTGTGTGTGATTTAATCCGGGGTCTCTAGTGCAGCGAGTTGGACGTGTCAGGCCAGCTGACCAGTGCCGGATGAAGCTAGTGCGGCGCCTGTAGCATATGTGATAAAGGGGCCCTAATTTATAAATATGTTAAAAACACAAATGTTTTACTTGCATAGTAAAATAATTGTATTTTTTCATTTGCTATACAGCCAGATGATGTGACAAATCGCTAACCTTGAACACCCAGTTGTTGATAAAAGTTGAAGGCAGTATAGTACTATAGTAATAGAGCAAGTGCAGAATCACTAAACCGGAATTGATATCTTGAAAGCATTTAGCGTGGGGCCCTTGAAAGTGCGGGGCCCGTAGCTAATACATGTGTAGCTACTACTACTACATGTGTAGCTACTACTACATGTGTAGCTGCTACTACATATGTAGCTACTTTTGCTACGTGGATCATCCGGCACTGCAGCTAACCAATGACGACTCAAACAAACAAAAAAGCCATCGCAATTAAATTTGGTTCCGCACCTAAAATTTCTCTAAATCGCAGCTCTGAGAATTAAAAAAAACGTCTGTTTGACCGTCGTGCGACGAACGTTGCTCTCAATTGGTTGGTAGAGCGAGCGGGCTAATGCTGCTACCCCTCTACTGTGTCGATCATTGGGTCACTTGAGGAAGATGTAACTCAGAGGTAGCTCTGTAATGCCTGCTTCCGCGGACCGTTTTATAAACACAAAGTGGGTTGCTACGTTTACGTGATCTAACCGAACAAAAAAAACCACTTTACTATGAATAATATTGGTCGGGAAAGCCTGCAACGTGTTAAATTCATGGAAGGTGAATGAACAATGCCGTAATTGGTCGCTCTTGGGTCCGATCGTGTTGATATGAATGTCATCTAGGGCTATAACTCTCCAACAACAACCGCCACTCGCCACTAAGTGGCGCGGACGTCACCACGGCGCTTGTGCCAGGCGATGTGCACAATCACAAACGTGTAGATTGATTTTGTTTTTGTGCAAAAGCAGTTACGTCGATAAGCAGGATTTATTTTCGTACGACTTGTCGCTGGAGATTACAGAGCTCACAACTTAAAATCAAACCCGTGTGCTCACGCCCGGACTGGCCCATAGAACAGTCCCGGCAAAATGCTCGTTGGGTCGGGTCCATACCGAGGGGGCCGTTCGGCCAGTCTGCGTGGGGAAATTGCCAATGTGATGATGAGTAAAAAAATAAAATATATTTTTCTAATGAAAATATTTTACTACCTCCAATGTGTACGCTTCATTGCATATTTTTCTTTCTCAGTTGGCATTAACCTCCCCCCCCCCCCACATCTTCGGCAGCCCCAAAGATTGTTCCTCACCGGTCCACGTGTTTTTTGGACCCAGTCCCCAAACGGGCCGAAGAGATCGCACGGGCAATTGGGTGCCCGATGGGTTTACAAATTCCGATGTTTTGTTTTAGTCCCCCAGGCTGTCGACTGCGTTTGCCCATGTAACATCCCGCTTTATTTTGGCTGTGCCAGGTGTTGGAGGGGGGGTTTTTTTTTTGGTTAAACGTCGACATGATATACACGGCACGGGCTAACCTAAGCAGAAACCAAATACGAATCGTAACATACTCTTAGTTCTTTCGGTAAAGTCACGTAGGTAAAAAATGAAATTAAAATTAATAAAAATAAAAATATTCTTTTATTTTAATTTGTATTAATTTAAATTTCAAAAAAATATTATTTTATTTTTATTAATTTTAATTTCATTTTAACCTACGTGACTTTACCGAAAGAACTAAGAGTATGAATCCTTGCAGTCACGAAAGCTTCAAATCTAGAACGAATCGTAACATTGGTCGAGAAAGCCCGTTAGGTATTTAAAGAAAAACAAAGACTAAATGAATGTTCGCGTTTAATAATTTGATCCGAGTTTACAATACGGATTGCGTGCGTGTGTGCGTGCGTGTGTGTACGTGCTTGTGTACGCGTGTGTGTGTACGTGTGTGCTAGTGTGCATTGTGACGGAGCGGTGGTCTAGCGGTTAGCGCACCGCGCTACGGATTTTTCCTCTGTTCACATAAATTAGTGAGATCGGTACACTTGGCGTGCGTCTCTTGATTGGTAAATGCGATGCAAATGAGGCGCTGGTGCTCATCAATCAAGCAGTGGTCTCTCTAAGATCTACATGAAGTGGCCGTATGGGTCGGGTTCATGATGACCGCGTCAGAGAATCAGAGTCAGAATCTTTACTTCGACTGGAGGAGGAAATCCGATGAGCTGTAAAGCTCTTTGTCACGAATGACTATTGAACAACAACAATAACAACAATCGCCTGGCGACCGCGCCGTGCAGGATCCACAGTGTCTTCGCTGTGGATCGACTGACATTTGCCACGTGATTGTAATGCATCGCTATCATCCCGTGTTCTTGTACAGGGAAAATTAGTTTTCAAGTCCACGCAGCGTACAGCCGTTTCAATTACCGACAACCTTTTTTGTCTCTTTGTTTGTGTTTCTCCCTTGTGATGGGACTTTGTCGGATAAACTTTTGAGATTTTCAAGGGGCACGGGGTGACCAATAAGGTCTGAATTGATCTGTAATAAGGTAGGGCACTGACAAGGGGTTGACAGGTATGTAGTGGTGAGTGTACTACTACTAGTGGTGAGTGTAGTAGTGGTGAGTGTAGTAGTGGTGAGTGTAGTAGTGGTGAGTGTTGTAGTGGTGAGTGTACTCGTGGTGAGTGTAGTAGTGGTGAGTGTACTAGTGGTGAGTGTACTCGTGGTGAGTGTAGTCGTGGTGAGTGTAATAGTGGTGAGTGTAATAGTGGTGAGTGTACTCGTGGTGAGTAGTGGTGAGTGTACTCGTGGTGAGTGTACGAGTGATGAGTGTAGTAGTGGTGAGTGTACTAGTGGTGAGTACTGGTGGTGAGTGTACTAGTGGTGAGTGTACTCGTGGTGAGTGTAGTGGTGAGTGTAGTAGTGGTGAGTGTAGTAGTGGTGAATGTACTCGTGGTGAGTGTAGTAGTGGTGAGTGTAGTAGTGGTGAGTGTACTAGTGGTGAGTGTAATAGTGGTGAGTGTAATAGTGGTGAGTGTACTCGTGGTGAGTAGTGGTGAGTTTACTAGTGGTGAGTGTACTAGTGGTGAGTGTAATAGTGGTGAGTGTAATAGTGGTGAGTGTACTCGTGGTGAGTAGTGGTGAGTGTACTAGTGGTGAGTGTAGTAGTGGTGAGTGTACTAGTGGTGAGTGTAATAGTGGTGAGTGTAGTAGTGGTGAGTGTACTCGTGGTGAGTAGTGGTGAGTGTACTCGTGGTGAGTGTAGTAGTGGTGAGTGTAGTAGTGGTGAGTGTACTAGTGGTGAGTGTAATAGTGGTGAGTGTAGTAGTGGTGAGTGTAGTAGTGGTGAGTGTACTAGTGGTGAGTGTAATAGTGGTGAGTGTAGTAGTGGTGAGTGTACTCGTGGTGAGTAGTGGTGAGTGTACTCGTGGTGAGTGTAGTAGTGGTGAGTGTAATAGTGGTGAGTGTAGTAGTGGTGAGTGTAGTAGTGGTGAGTGTACTAGTGGTGAGTGTAGTAGTGGTGAGTGTAGTAGTGGTGAGTGTACTCGTGGTGAGTGTAGTAGTGGTGAGTGTAATAGTGGTGAGTGTAATAGTGGTGAGTGTAATAGTGGTGAGTGTACCAGTGGTGAGTGTAATAGTGGTGAGTGTAGTAGTGGTGAGTGTAGTAGTGGTGAGTGTAGTAGTGGTGAGTAGTGGTGAGTGTAGTAGTGGTGAGTGTAATAGTGGTGAGTGTAATAGTGGTGAGTGTAATAGTGGTGAGTGTACTCGTGGTGAGTAGTGGTGAGTGTACTAGTGGTGAGTGTACTAGTGGTGAGTGTAATAGTGGTGAGTGTAATAGTGGTGAGTGTAGTAGTGGTGAGTGTACTCGTGGTGAGTAGTGGTGAGTGTACTAGTGGTGAGTGTAGTAGTGGTGAGTGTACTAGTGGTGAGTGTAATAGTGGTGAGTGTAGTAGTGGTGAGTGTACTCGTGGTGAGTAGTGGTGAGTGTACTCGTGGTGAGTGTAGTAGTGGTGAGTGTAGTAGTGGTGAGTGTACTAGTGGTGAGTGTAATAGTGGTGAGTGTAGTAGTGGTGAGTGTAGTAGTGGTGAGTGTACTAGTGGTGAGTGTAATAGTGGTGAGTGTAGTAGTGGTGAGTGTACTCGTGGTGAGTAGTGGTGAGTGTACTCGTGGTGAGTGTAGTAGTGGTGAGTGTAATAGTGGTGAGTGTAGTAGTGGTGAGTGTAGTAGTGGTGAGTGTACTAGTGGTGAGTGTAGTAGTGGTGAGTGTAGTAGTGGTGAGTGTACTCGTGGTGAGTGTAGTAGTGGTGAGTGTAATAGTGGTGAGTGTAATAGTGGTGAGTGTAATAGTGGTGAGTGTACCAGTGGTGAGTGTAATAGTGGTGAGTGTAGTAGTGGTGAGTGTAGTAGTGGTGAGTGTAGTAGTGGTGAGTGTAGTAGTGGTGAGTGTAATAGTGGTGAGTGTAGTAGTGGTGAGTGTAGTAGTGGTGAGTGTACTCGTGGTGAGTGTACTAGTGGTGAGTGTAGTGGTGAGTGTACTAGTGGTGAGTGTCATAGTGGTGAGTGTAGTAGTGGTGAGTGTAGTAGTGGTGAGTGTCGTAGTGGTGAGTGTAGTAGTGGTGAGTGTACTCGTGGTGAGTGTAGTAGTGGTGAGTGTACTAGTGGTGAGTAGTGGTGAGTGTACTCGTGGTGAGTGTAGTAGTGGTGAGTGTACTCGTGGTGAGTGTAGTAGTGGTGAGTGTAATAGTGGTGAGTGTAATAGTGGTGAGTGTAATAGTGGTGAGTGTACCAGTGGTGAGTGTAATAGTGGTGGGTGTAGTAGTGGTGAGTGTAGTAGTGGTGAGTGTAGTAGTGGTGAGTAGTGGTGAGTGTAGTAGTGGTGAGTGTAATAGTGGTGAGTGTAGTAGTGGTGAGTGTAGTAGTGGTGAGTGTACTCGTGGTGAGTGTACTAGTGGTGAGTGTAGTGGTGAGTGTACTAGTGGTGAGTGTCATAGTGGTGAGTGTACTAGTGGTGAGTGTAATAGTGGTGAGTGTAGTAGTGGTGAGTGTAGTAGTGGTGAGTGTACTAGTGGTGAGTGTAATAGTGGTGAGTGTAGTAGTGGTGAGTGTACTCGTGGTGAGTAGTGGTGAGTGTACTCGTGGTGAGTGTAGTAGTGGTGAGTGTAATAGTGGTGAGTGTAGTAGTGGTGAGTGTAGTAGTGGTGAGTGTACTAGTGGTGAGTGTAGTAGTGGTGAGTGTAGTAGTGGTGAGTGTACTCGTGGTGAGTGTAGTAGTGGTGAGTGTAATAGTGGTGAGTGTAATAGTGGTGAGTGTAATAGTGGTGAGTGTACCAGTGGTGAGTGTAATAGTGGTGAGTGTAGTAGTGGTGAGTGTAGTAGTGGTGAGTGTAGTAGTGGTGAGTAGTGGTGAGTGTAGTAGTGGTGAGTGTAATAGTGGTGAGTGTAGTAGTGGTGAGTGTAGTAGTGGTGAGTGTACTCGTGGTGAGTG